CTTGGTTATTGGTGGCTGACACTATAGGGGATGCCAACATTCAATTAACCTGTGTTTCTTCTCCCCTTGCGTAAAGAAAACGAGTAACATTCACACGCACATATCCTTCGAGATTCATAGCAATGTAGCAATGTGTTACACTTCGTAAGTTATATATATATATATATATATATATATATATATATATATATATATATATATATATATATATATATATATATATATATATATATATTTGAATCGTTCAGGACAAATTATCTTAATTATCTACAATTTTCACCCAACTTCTTCACACTTTCCCTTCTCTTTTTGAGCTATAGCTCTAGCACGTTGCTAGAATCAACAAACAAGAGACAGTTCTGCAATCGCCTGGCGTTTCCTGGACGATGCCAATGCCTGATGAAGGTAGGAGCGACCATGTTTTGGCCTTGTTTAGTTCTAAACTTTTTCTTCAAATTTCTAACTTTTTCATCACATTAAAATTTTTCTACATACATAAACTTTCCAACTTTTTCATCACATAATTTCAATTTCAACCAAACTTTCAATTTTGGCCATGTTTGTTTTCAATGTGAAGAATCTCTGCGTCTCTGCGCCTGTTCCAACGACCGATCCTCAAAAGATGAGGCTAGCTTAGCTTTGTTTTTTTGTTGCTGCTCTGCTGCACGCTCTGGCCTAGCTAGCTGCGTTTTGCTCCTCTCGATGGGCTGCTTCCTGCATGTGTCTGAGCAAACACAGCAGGCTACAGTAGCTCTCAATATGGATGTTCTATAATGTGTTGTGTGTGTGCAATGAAGCACTTTTTTAAAAGTGTTTTCAGACATTTATTGTTTCTCATTTAAAACACATGAATGATAAATCATATAAATAGAATGGAAGAGTTGATGGAAATGCTTGTATATGAAAAAAAGTTTTTAGTAAAAACATAACAAAAATAGAAAAATGACCATTTCAGTAGACATGCAAACCAGAAAAAAAAAAGAGCAAACCTCGGGTTAACCTCTCGCACTTAAATCCATCCATGCATGCACGTAATAAAAAAAGGAAATTATTGGCTCTTTGACTTTACACGACGATCAAGCATAAATATTTTTCTTTTGGTAATGTGACGATCAATTGTGAATGGAGTGAAACTAGGGCCGTGTTTAGTTTCAAAATAATTCTTCAAACTTCAAACTTTTCCATCACATCAAAACTTTCCTACACATACAAATTTTCAACTTTTCCATAACATCGTTTTAATTTCAACCAAACTTTCAATTTTGATGTGAACTAAACACAGCCTATAAAAGCATCTTGTGGACAACCGTAATTAACCACGGTAGCAATATGTACTTTTCATTCCTATGCATGTGTTGAAGTTATCGTCTTATACACGATCCAAATCATTGTGTCCATAGATAGCTGTGTCCATCTAGTTGATGTAGAGACACGATAGAAAGATGAGGTCTTTATGCAGAAGTAGGGGTTGAGGAAAGGAAGGAGGATAACTCACTCTTTCAGTAGTAGGGGATATTGAAATATTGCTGAAGGCATAGTTTCATACTTCCTCCGTTTTATATTGTAAAACTTTCTAGCACTCCGTTTTATACAACTTGAAACGGAGGAAGTAATAAGTTTGGATACTTCTATTATTATAAAAAAATATGTTAACACTAATTAAGTTGTATGGTAAAGTCTGCCTGATGTGTAGCCAACGTGTCTTGTTAGCCATTAGCCAACATCAATTCCTGTGACAAGTCACTACTCGCCCAGACGGAAATTTTACCATGAACCAAAGAAACATGTCTACATGTATCATTCTCCAATCTTTCATCATGTCCTGTTTGGCATATGCATGCTTTGGATGCTTTTGGACGAGTACAGCAACCGGTGAATTTTGCTGGAAAATATGAGTACTCCATGACGCGGAGGCAGTGCGGCCGCACACACACTGGAGATCGAAAGGACACTGCCGCAAGAATCCAGATGCATCCGTCCGGCCGAGCCGCCGTCCTATGAACAGCCGTGCGGTCCTATCATCCAGCCAGCCGGCCAGTTTTTTCTTCCCAAAAGGACCCTCTCATTTAGAGCGTACGATCGATCCATCCATCGAGTACCGAACTAACAATTTCTCCCTTTAAAGGTATAAGCATTTCTACCATTATGTTTGCTCTGTCTTCAAATGTGGAGAACAACATCCTATGGTTAATGCGAGCGGCCTCTAAAAGAAAAGGATAAGGCGGCTCCCCAGTTCTCACAGCATATACGCTGCGTTGCTAGTTGTCTTCCAAGCTCTATATTTGCTCTGACCATCTTTCCTAACAGAAAATGAGAAAGTTGTTGTTTTGAGTTGGTCGAGAAAGTTGTTGTTTTGGAAGGCAACTGCATCGCTTCTGTCACATCTACTTCTCTCTCTCTCTCTCTGATGAGATAGCCACAATTTGCTCCTCCTATCTGCTCATCGTGTCGTGCCAAAGTCCGTAGAGGGTAGATATATATGTGTGTGTCAGGCGTCGGTGGCCGACGATAGAGATATGGTTGGATGGAGGAAGCTATAGGTGGCCACCTCGCTGACGGGGCATAAGGAGTTGGTAGTGGAGTTGCTTCATGTGGGCCTCAAGGTTGTCGTGTTGGCGACGCTTTGAAGCCATCGTGATCTTTGCTAGCCATCTCATTGCTCGCCAGTTTTCTGTGTAGGTACATTATGGGCATGTCATTCTTGATTAACACCTATAGATATTAGGTTCGGTGCTTAGATAGTAGGGTCTAATACGTGGGATATCTGGTCTAGTATCTGGCACTTGTATCACTACAAGATAATTGGGCTATCGCCATCAATTTATTACAACGAAAAATAATTCGTGGGCAATATATTGTACTATCGCAATGATATTTTTTCTGTGGCAAATAACTATATTTTGTTGCAACGATTTACGATCGTTGTTTTATTAAGTATTTTTGTTGCAATAGAAAACGAGCTATCGCCACAAAAAACATTACTATTGCAAAAAAACATGTTCTATCACCACAATTTTAATTTATGTGGCAATTTGCGTAGTACATGATACTTTTCACTATTTTCTGTTGCCATGATCAACAGATTCGTTGCAATAATAATTTATCATCTCATAATTTGACTTATTCTTTTCATATGGGCATGGATTAGGATAAATTTTGTATGAAATTTAGAGCTCTACAACTTAACTTTATCATTTGAAATCTTTTAAATACTCAAATTCATGATTCAAATCTCAGATCGGCAGGCTCAAATGGAATGATATGCATTTTTAAATAAAATTGATGCGTAGGTGAGTTGGTAATGGAGAGCGCGTGTGAGGGAGAGATCTTGGGTTCGAATCCTAGCCATGACAAGATATCAAAAGAAAATAGTTAGGATGATAGATTAATATTGAAACATTTAATTTGGTACGTAGAACTAATGCTACACTTGGAGTGGTGGCAATAGTTATCTATTGCAACGATGTGAAGTGTTGCAATATATTTTTTTGCCACATCCATTTTATGGCAATATCAAAATTTATTACAACTAAATAAAAATCGTTGCAATAACCTATTACCACGCTATTTATTACCACGGCTAGCAACGATTTTAAGATTGTGGCAACATGTACCTATTGCCACAATTTTAGCATTGATGCTACGATTTTTTCCGTGGCGATAAATTATTTTTCTAGTAGTGTATCAAATTATGAAAAGGGGAAGTGAGCCATCGCCGCTTAGTGGGTCGGCCCACTTGTATCCCCACATACCAATACAAACCTAGGAAGACTATAATATCTCTACTTTATTAAATCTCAATTCAACTATTTCTCTTTTTTTTTACTCCCAATGCATTTACTCCCTTCAGTTCTATAATTTTTTATGTTTTGGACAAGGTTAATTAAAGTCAAACTTTTATAACTTTAACTATCAATATCAAGAATATTTAGTTTAAAGGCACTAAAACAACATAGACATATTTATCTTATAAAGAACTATACTAAGGCCTGGTTTAGTTCCCAAATTTTTTTCCCCAAAAACATCACATCGAATCTTTGGACACATACATAGAGCATTAAATATAGATAAAACCAAAAACTAATTACACAGTTTGCATGGAAATCGCGAGACGAATCTTTTGAGCCTAATTAGTCCATGATTAGCCATAAGTGCTACAGTAACCCACATGTGCTAATGACGGCTTAATTAGGCTCAAAAGATTCATCTCGCAGTTTTCAGGTGAGTTATGAAATTAGTTTTTTCATTCGTGCCCGAAAACTCCTTCCGACATCCGGTCAAATATCCGATGTGATATCCAAAAATTTTCTTTTCGCGAACTAAACATGGCCTAAAAATTTAAAATATATTTATTTATTGTATATATTATAATAGAAAAACATAGTTAAAGATATATTTTGGAGACCATATCATTGTTCAAAAGTCAAAATTATAGAACGGGGGAGTATTCCCTACTTTTATAAACTCCGATATAATAATTACTTAAAATAAATTTAATTTTGATACCCGGTAAAATTAAAAAATAAACTTTTTAGTAGTAATTGTTTTTTATGAGGAGTCGTAATTAAGAGAGGACATCTTTTCATCTCTTTTTCATAAACGCGCAAAAGGATTGCACGTCAATGTATTAGAAGAAAGCGGAGTTTGGTTATACAACACAAACGGTTAGAAGGCTGTTGCCAAAGGTCAAGAAAAAAACAAATACTGAAAAGATAAGCTACTGGTGGGGGTAAGGGGTCTCACTGCACTCTACCCTGTGCCGACATCTCTTCAACTTACCGGGTGAGGATCTTCCATCATAATATCACTATTATTACAATCACTAATATGTGGGATATCACCCTTTTATTAATTTACACGTTAACGTCTGTAATGATAGGGTCGTTATAGCAGAGGTTGAAAACCCCACAGCCCCACCTCTCTAGCTTGAGTGTCAGTGGAGCCCGGTGAGCCGAACCTGATCGAGAGATCGAGTTTAAGAGGTGAGCTTATATTAGGCACAGCACCCCACACCAACATTCACATTCAGTGCACCCCAAACACCAAGAACTCCTCCTTTTTTTCTCCTGTAATAATCCTGTACCCTCTCTCTCTATCTCCCTGCAGCTGCTGCCTAGCTCCAGTACGGCCACCGTCGTCGATCGGTCTCTCTCTCTCACCGGATCCGAGAAGCAAAGAACCGATCTTTTTTCTTCTTTTTTCCCCTGCGTGATGCTTCTTGTTTACTACTACGTGGGTGCAGTGCAGGTTTGTTGATCGATCTTGGGGCGGGGCGGGATCGAGCATATGAAAGGCGAGATTGTTGACAGAAGAGAGTGAGCACACGGCGCGGCGGCTAGCCATCGGCGGGATGCCTGCCCCCGCCGCGTGCTCGCTCCTCTTTCTGTCAGCATCTCTCATCACTCCCTCCCGCATCCCCCGCCCCGATCTCGCGTCGATCTCTCATCTCCGGAGAGGAGCCATCTTTTAATTTGTTTGATTTGATTTGATCTCGTTTCCCTGAATTTCTTGGTGGAAACCCGCGCCGACACGCGTGGCTTTTCTTTCTTTCTTTCTTTTTTTTGTGCAGAGACAGAGAGATCGAGATAGCAAGGACATGTCACTTCATTATCTTCTAGATATGCACGCAAAACATTTTTTGTTTGTTTTTCTCTCTCTCTTCTTGATTCGATTTCATCTCTTTCTTGCTGTCATCACAGCCTTGCATGCCGGGGAGCTACTACCGAGGAGATCAGCGATTATTGCTGATATGATGCTGCTGCTGATGGAGTGATGGCAAGGAGGAGGAGGAGAAAAGATGAGCATTTGATGTGGTAGGTTTCTTCTTCTCAATCCTCTCTGATGAGAGATGGAGTACTGTAGTAATTTTCCTCGATCTCTTCCTTTGCCTTGGGAGCTGAATCAGTGAGTAGTGAAGCGGCCAGTACACTGCTCCACTGTAAGGATTTAACAGAATAAAACTGCACAGCTTCTCATCTCCGTATTCATCATTCACTTCTCCGTATAGTTTTATCTCTCTCTCTCTCTCACTCTCACACTCAGTGCTTCTGCTCATCTTCTCCCCCTACTGCTCTCTACTCTCTACCTAGAATGCTCATTAATTAATCCTTCTTTAGTTATTTTCATGGTTGTTTAATTAAGGGTTCTTGGCGTTTGATGATGAACTGATGATGATGATCCAGTGCTGCTAGCTGGGCTTGGTGAGCTCCTGCTGGCTCAAAAATGGAGCATGGAGGTCACTAGGAGGAGAACCATATTTGGCAAGGACGGTGGTCTCGCCTTTGCTTTGGCCAGATCTGATGGTTTGTATATATCTCTCACACATTTGGCCTTTTTGGTTTTTGGTTGGCCCCCCCTCTATCTATCTATCTATCTATCTATCTATCTATCTATCTCTCTATCTCTCCATAGAAAGGGATTATTGATGATGAGGAGGGGTAAAATTGGATGCCTTTTGATGCATGTATGCTTGGTTTTACCATCCATTCACTTGCTTAGTGTTGAAAGTGGTCCAAGCTTAGCTTCCTGAGACTAGTCGTCTGAGTGACCCATTTGCTGCTGTTCCCTTCCTTTTTCTTTCAGGATGATAAACTACTACATGCATGATATAATGGATAGCAGAAGCAAGCTAAGCCACCACCACCACCAGCAGCAGGAGCACTAGCTGCAAGTCTCTGCAATATCACCAATACTAAGGTAAATATATATCCATGCAAAAAACTATATATGACTGAGTTATTTGAGTTTTGTTTTTAAAAGTTCTTGAGGTGTGTGGGAACTTACAGTTGCATTTGCTCTTGGATTTGGAGGCAAACATTATTTGAAGTTTTGAAATGTTTGCAACATTTTTTTTTTTTGAGAAGTGCATGCACTAGTACTGCAACATTCGGGGTGAAAGAAAGCTGCATGCGTTGTTTGGCATTCAAAGGTCATACCATGAGATCAAAACATTCTTTTTTACGCTTCAGTGCAGTGCATAGGCTGGATTGGTTATGCTCCAAGTATTATCATCTGATGATAGACTGTACAGTTTAGTTGGGGTGTATTTAGACCCTGTGTGGGTAATTAGATGATCAGGAGCATATAATCAAGGTTCAGACCAACCATGATGCTAGAAATAATACTTCCCTTTTGGTGCTAGCTAGCTAGGTGCTAGGTGGAGTATCATTTTGTATGATTTCTCCCCTAGCTAGCAAAGGAATGTCCATGCATGCATGTTGTTTTACAAATGTGTGGGATCCATAACTATCTCCATTATTTACTGTTCTTCAGACTGGAGCTTAATTTTTCCCAAATATTAAGTACATACGTGGGTTATTTCGATCGATTGCACTACAACATAAATATTAATCTTTCTCTACTGAACTTTGATTGGGAAAATGATAATACAAATTATATAAGTGAGAAATATATCAATGCTGCTAAAGTTGAACATGCCACATTAAGCAATATTGTGCAGATCGATGAGACAAACAAGCCTTGCAATTTTGCATGTTTTGTGCCACTATGAGGAGCGAATATGCCTCCATTGCACACCAAATTTTCGTTATGTATCGTTCCAAAGCATTCTATAGATAAAAGAAAAAGATAACAAATTACAGTTTTATTTATCTCATTATTTTTCTTTTGCAGTATAAAACTGAATTCTTAATTTACACCCATGCGCCAGTGATCACGCTTTATTGTCCCACATCGGGCTGCTAGATCCGTCGCTTTGACATAAAAACTATGTTCTTGGTTGCATCAATGTGTGTAGAGTTACATTATTTAAATTTCATGATAAAATAATAAGCTTTATTTATTTTGTGTCAACTAGTAGCGCATGTATATGAGTATATTGGTCATATCTTCCTACTAGATGGGCAATTGAATGCAAGAAAATTGTTCCTCCAGATCGTCAAATCCTACGCATTGAAGTGAATTATTGTAGTTTTGAGGATGGCATGGGCTATGCATATATATTACTTCAGTCTGCTCAGTATATGTTTACTTTCAAAATGATTGAAATATTGAACTAACTAATCCTCCTGCCATAAATATTTGACGTTTAGAACAAGATTTGGTCAAGTTTTGGAAACTTTCACAGTCAATAAATTTCTCAAATGCTTAGTTTAAAAACAAAAAGAATGGCATACACAAAATATTTGCCTCAGAAAGTAATATCATAATATCATAAGCCTATTAGATTTATGAACTTATTCTAATATAAAATTGATGTCCGGAATTTTAGAAATTTGACCAAATCTTGTCCTGAACATCAAATATTTATGATCGGAGGGGAATATATATGTGCACATGAAAAAAGGGTTCACAAAGACTGCATGGATATCCTCCAAACAGGATTATCTTTATTTTCTTTCGGGAAAAGTCCAGATAGTTATAATTGTGTTTTAGTTAAGGACTTGTGGTAGGAGTGTAAAATCATGTAAAAAATGTCCCTATGTTTGTAATTATACCCCATTCACGCCTCTCTCACTTCATACAAGTAACTTAAGGAGATACTACATTTTTTCTCTATATTTCATTATCTTTAGTTATATCTGTTTTTACAAAAAGTGGCCAAATTGCTGCCTTTTACTCCTAATTTCTTTGTTCAACGTATTCTCGAACTGAAGCATGTATTTACTCAAGCTTCATCAGCTAATTTATAGGATATATCCACTTCATAAATCTTGATGTCACCATTTAGTGATGGTCACTTGCAAGTTGGGTCGATGAACCCGACAATGAATAAGAGTGCGCAAAAACTGACACAAATAAAGTAACAAATGTCCTTTGGCTCAATTCAATACTTCAATATACAAGTAAAACAAGATGGAGATGCGATTGAAGGACGGTTTGCTTTTTTGCGCCAAGTTATAGACATGCTGCCTTTAACATTTGTGAGTCAATATCTCTCTCTGGGGATTACTATTGACTTACTTTCACTATGTAAGGTTTGGTTTGAGATCTGAATGTTAAATGGCCCTAATACATGTTTACATCCTTAGCAAGCATGAGTAAATGTAAGGTTTGGTTTGAGATCTGAATGTTAAATGGCCCTAATACATGTTTACATCCTTAGCAAGCATGAGTAAACAATCTGCCACCAAAAGTTCCATCTGCTTCCACCAAAAATGTCTTTCACGGATTACAATACATGCAAGTAATAGTAATATTCAGTAAGTGTGAAGTTGACACTAAAATAACGCTGTGATGAATACAGTTTGCAATGAGAAATATTACTACCTCCGTCTCATAATAGTTGTCTTTCTAGGATTCAAAATTTGTCCCAATATACTTGTCACTAAAAAGTACTAGCGGTCACATCCATTCCTTTATATTCAAATTTCTTCCTTTTCTACCCCTGAACTACTACTCCGCTCCTAACGATACACCATTTAATATGGGATATTATAGTCTTTTTTCTCAGACCTTAGTCCATACTAAACTACCTAGAATGACAAGTATTTTGGGACGGAGAGAGTAATATAACAATCATTTCCCTGTCACTGAATTTGGTCACTTAAGTACATTGCTTTTTTACGAGCCTGTTATGTATGTCTTTATTGATGCTATGTCGCGTGATTCCATAAGTAGCTACTGGAAACTTATCAGATAATGTATCTGTCATCAATTCATCTCATGTGGGAAATTCTTCCATTGGCAGTGTGTTTTATTTTCTCTTTCCAGTAAGCTATTGTGATTTTCATTCTCCCATGAAGGATTTGAACATTGGTGTTTTAGGAGTTTTTCTTACAATGTTTTGTCAATGTGAAGTGTGCTAAAAACAACTTGTCTTGAATTGATGGTATTTTACCAATTACCGGTTTCTATTACAAATAAGATGTTGTCAAGCTGAACAAACTTAATAAAAATATACTTCTCGGAGGCACATTCTAATATATTCTACAATACCTTGTTGTTGTTTATCCCGTACTCTCTTTCTGAGATTTGCTCATATATTAATGTGAAAAGTGGCATTACCACTGTACCTTTGTAGTGCCATTTGTAGAAAGATTCTTCCATTTCTTTCTGGAAAGCACCGATTTAAGCATGTGGTATCTGACGTTAATTGCAACTTCTTTCTCAGCCTAACTGCAAAACATGCTCTCTTTAGATATTGCCTGTTTCCACCCACCCTTGTTGTGATTTTGGGATTAGCTAGACAGTAAATTGAATGATTTTAGTATACGGTCTATCTACAGTGGATTATACGTATATATATGTGTTCTCAGTTCTCACCAGATAAAACAGAAACAACTTGACAAATTCAGTGTTTAAAGAAAAGGTCTACAAGACTAGCATACAAGGAACGGGTGCCCCAACCTTGTACCGCTTAAGCCGTATAAGCGGCTGAGTATACCGGATAAGCGTCCAATTATGCCGCATAAGTGCTATAGGGTGGGGTAGGGTGGGGTGACTACACGAAACCGCATACCGCTTTTTAAAACATTGTCTGTATAGTTTTAACATCCAAATTGTGTCTTTGTTGTTATTCATCTCTATCTGTCCATCTACAGCGAGATAATGTGTATGTGTCTTCTCTCCAGATAAAACTAAAACAACTTAGACAAATTCATGTGCTGTATAATTTTTAACATCCACACTGCCCTGTTATTCAGCAGTACAGGTGCACACGATGAAGAGGGAACAACAGCTGAAAAGAAGTGAAACATAGGCTGCTTCTGCAGTATTGATAATTTCTAACAGTTGCTGTCATAGAAGGCAAATGCATCTGCAGGTAATGACTGATTAATTTAGGGATAACTCCATTTTGAAAAATTCAGGCAAATGATGCTGAAATCTATTATACTTTATTACTGTATTGATCATCCCCCTTATTTCTTTTTTCAGCTTACATGGAGCATTCTGCAAGAGTATGTTTGGTGATAACTGAGTTTTTAGAGGATGTGTGCAACCAATTCTCGCACGCAAGTCCATCGCGATAGGGGATTTGGTGTTCACTGAATTCAAACCGTTCCTTTCAAGCAAGAAGGGTCCTGAAGGATATAACAGCTTCAAATCATACAATCTTTGCCCCTCCCTTTTATTCGGCTGGAACTATTGAAATGTCACTTTCAGGATGGTTAGAAGCTTGTGCTTTAGGGGAAAATTTCAAAACTTTTGCATTTTTTCCTTAGCCTTTCTTTGTCAGTAGTACCAAACTGCGCCTTTATTTCCAGTGTTCCTGGAGAAACGTCACGCTCAATATTAGTTGACCATATACACAAATTCTTTGCTTCCAAGGTATCATTTTCCTTTTGCAGATTTGGACATTTTTTGCCATGCCAAAGATCTCATCTTTTACAGGCTCCCAAAGAGCATTGGTAGTAGTTGGTAGTACACTGGTACTATTAGTACCAAATGACTGAAAAAGAATGGTTAGTACAGTAGTACTAGTGCTGCCCATGAGTACTTTGGTTGTTGCTCTTGTCATCTTCCATGTTAATTACTCCTATTTTGCTGTCCGGTACCTTGGATAGTTCAAAGTTTCTGCAAGCTTTGCAAACCTCCAAATACAAGGTAATGGACTACTATTATAATGGATAATCAAAGGAGCTGTCACTTGTCTAATCTCCATGAAAACAAATGCAAAGCTAGGACAGACGTGTCCTGAATCTCCAATATAATACAGGGGATTGCATAGGCAAACGTTCTATTATTGTACCTGATGAATGTTGTAAAGAACTCTAATACAGTTCAGTGTTCACCAACTAACATGTGACATTACCTACTAATCACTGTTATCTTTAGACACGTTTCGTCAGATAACATATCGAAGCTGAGCGGTGTACTTGTAATGTGATTTGCTATGGCCTGTTTGGAGTTTGGACTGTAGGATTTTATAGTTCCTTCAAAACGCATGATTCTAAAAACACAGGAATAATTAATTTTCCGAACAGCACGATCTCATTTTCGGTAGCTTCAATTCAACGTTTAGGCCTGTTTGGAGTTTGGACTGTAGGATTTTATAATTCCTTCAAAACGCATGATTCTAAAAACACAGGAATAGAAAAAAAAAACATAAAACAGGGTGGCATGTCAAGTTTATCATAAAAAATGTAAAAAATACATGAATTTTTTTCAGTGCCTATTCACTTTGATGCCAAAAAAAACCTTACCAAATTTTGGCAATGCCAAAATTTTGGTATACTTGCCAAAATTTTGGTAACTTGCCAAAATTTTGGCAGGATTTCTTATATAGTTACCAAAATTTGGCATCAAACTAAATGTAGCCACTTTTTTGGCAACTTTACTAAAATTTGGTAAGGTTTAAAATGGCATCAAAGTGAACAGGCCCTCAATCTTATTGTTTGGATGCTTTACAGGTTGGCATGTCAACTTTGTCATAAGAAATGCCAAAATACATGAATTGTTCAATCTTATTGTTTAGGTGCTTTTACATGAAAATAATACAGGAATTTGGAGAGAGATTGAGACCACGGAATTTTTCAAGAGGTTTAAGTTTATTATAGATTTCGTCCAAAATTACTATGATTTATTTCATTCTATGGGAATTCTAAAGGCCTCATTCCTTTAATCCGACAAGCACTTAGGAAATTTTTACAAAGGATTAATATATACCCTATAAAATTCCCCCATATATCCATTTTTTTCAAAGGAGCCCTTAATAGATCCCCCCCCCCCTAGGATTTGAATTTATTCATTCATGTGAAAATTCTGTAAAATCCATGTACATTTTAAAGGAGCTCTCATTAGTCCTCAATATGATATCAAATTATAATATCTTATTTGGCCATAACAATGGGCAGTTCTATGAAACTACAGGAGTGTGTCAAAAACCTGTTTGCAGCCCTTCTGTCAAGACCTTGGTTTTGTACAAAATTTACACCTTTACAAACCAAGAAAAGTCATTACTCCATCTGTTCCAAACTATAGACACATTCTAGTACTAGATCTGGAGAAAGTGTATGTCCAGATTTATTAGTAGCAGATTATATCACATCTGATCCTAAGTTATACTCCCTCCGTTTCTAAATACTTTATGTCGTTCACTTTTTAAACATGTTTGACCATTCGTCTTATTAAAAAAAATTAAGTAATTATTAATTCTTTTCCTATCATTTGATTCATTGTTAAATATACTTTCATGTATATTTATAGCTTTACATATTTCACAAAATTTTTTGAATGAGACGAACGGTCAAATATGTGCTAAAAAGTCAACGGTGTCAAACATTTAGAAACAGAGGGAGTATTTTACTACGGATGTACTACCTCCGTTTTAGGTTATAAGATGTTTTGATTTTGGTCAAAGTCAAACTACTTCAAGTTCGACTAAGTTTGTAGAAAAAAATAATAATATTTTCAACCCAAGATAAATTTATTATGAAAATATATTCAATTATTTATTTAACAAAACTAATTTAATATTATAAATATTACTATATTTGTCTATGAACTTAGTTAAATTTAAAGTAGTTTAACTTTAATAAAAGTTAAAACGTCTCGTGACCTAAAACAGAGGGAATAAGTATTTTCTTCCTTCTCTATACTACAACAAAACGAGTTAGGCGAGCCTCGTCCCACCGACAGGTGGGTCCCACCATGCACCAACAGAAAACCGCGCGGAACAAAGCCGAGCACAACCCGGTCGGAAGCCGCCTCCCCACTTCGTCCCGACGCCGACGTCCTCGCCGCCGCCGCCTCCGCCGCTCCGCGTGATCGCGATTGCGATCGCCTCCATGCTACCCACCCCTCTCCTCCGCCGCTCCGCGTGATCGCGATTGCGATCGCCTCCATGCTACCCACTCCTCTCCTCCGATCTAACCACCCCGCCCGCGCGCGCGCCGCGGCCATGGCGCCCCTCCTCCTCACCCTCCTCCTCCTCCTCTGCCTGGCTTCACCGCCGCTGGCGGCGGCGGCGGCGGCGTGCGGGACGAACACTAGCCTGGTGGGGTACGAGGCGGACCTGTGGATGTCGCAGCACCAGCTCCGCGGCCGCGTCGAGGTGCTCGACGGCTGCTCGTTCCGCGTCGCGGCGCTCGACCTCCTCGCGGGGTCCGCCTCCGCGCGGTGGTGGCGCGCCGAGGGGCCCGACCTCGACTCCCTCGCCCGAGGCGCGCCCGCCGCGGGCGACCCGCTCAACCGCACCTTCCTCTCCGAGTCCCTCGTGTTCCGCCTCCTCCCTGGCGTGTCCTGGCCGCTCGTCCCCGTCCTCGCCGCCTTCGACCCCCTCACCTCCTCCCTCTTCGGCTTCGTCCGCCTCTCCAACGATTCCTCCGCCGATTCCGAGGCGCCCACCATGTTCGACTCGTGCGCCCAGCTCTCGCCGCGGCTGCGCGTGCGCTGGACGCTCCACGGCACCTCCGACTCCATCGACATCGGCCTCGAGGCGGCCGTCGGGTCGGAGTACTACATAGCGTTCGGGTGGGCAGCGCCCGGCGCGCCCGAGCCGTCCATGATCGGCGCCGACGTCGCCGTCACGGGCTTCACGGAGGACGGCCTCCCCTTCGCCGACGACTACTACGTCACCAAGTACAGCGAGTGCACGGTGCGCGCCGACGGCGCCGTCGAGGGCGTTTGCCCGGACACGATCTACGAGCAGGGCAACGACACCGCCGCCGGCGCGGTCAACAACACGCGGCTGGTGTACGGCCACCGCCGCGACGGCGTCTCGTTCGTCCGGTTCTCGCGGCCGCTCGTGTCGCCGGACAAGAAGTACGACGTGCCGGTCAACGCCACGGCGAACATGACGGTGATCTGGGCGATCGGGCTGCTCCGGCCGCCGGACTCGCTCCAGCCATACTACCTCCCTCTGGGCCACGGCGCGCCGGCCGGGACGGCGTTCGGGTTCGCCACGCTCAACGTGTCGGCGAGCGGCGGGTGCGTCGGGCCGCTCGACGCCGAGGACAAGGAGGACCAGGACAGGATCACGGCGGAGCGGAACACGCCGCTGGTGGTCACCGCCGGGCCGTCGCTGCACTACCCCAACCCACCTAACCCGGACAAGGTGCTCTACATCAACAAGAAGGAGGCGCCGCTGCTCAAGGTGGAGCGCGGCGTGCCCGTCACCTTCTCCGTCGAGGCCGGCCACGACGCGCCGCTGTACATCACCTCCGACGCCGTGGGCGGCAACGCCACGTCCCGGAACGCCACCGAGGTCGTCTTCGCCGGCGGCGCCAGGGCCGAGGGCGTGCCGGCGGCGCCGGCGGAGCTCGTCTGGCTCCCCGACCGGAACACGCCCGACGTGGTGTACTACCAGTCGCTCTACGACCCCAAGATGGGGTGGAAGATCCAGGTCGTCGACGGCGGCCTCAGCGACATGTACAACAACAGCGTCCTCCTCGACGACCAGCAGGTGACCTTCTTCTGGACGCTCTCCGGCGACTCCATCAACATCGCCGCCCGCGGCGAGCGGAAGAGCGGCTACCTCGCCGTCGGCTTCGGGAGCGCCATGGTGAACAGCTACGCCTACGTCGGGTGGATCGACGGCAACGGCACGGGCCACGTCGCCTCCTACTTCATCGACGGCGAGGACGGCGCGGGCGTGCACGAGACGAGCGAGAACCTCACCCACACGAGGTGCCGGTCGGAGAACGGCGCCATCGTGTTCGAGCTCACGCGGCCGCTGTCGCCGTCGTGCTCCGGCAGGGTGGAGTGCAGGAACATCGTCGACCCGACGACGCCGCTGCGGGTGATCTGGGCGATGGGCTCGCAGTGGTCGTCTGGCCAGCTGACCGTGAGCAATATGCACTCCATCACCAGCAACCGCCCCGTCCGCGTCCTCCTCCTCGCCGGCACGGCGGAGGCGGAGGAGGAGCTGCGCCCGGTGCTCGCCGTCCATGGATTCATGATGTTCGTCGCGTGGGGGTTCCTCGTTCCCGGCGGGATCATGGCGGCGAGGTACCTCAAGCATCTGAAGAGCGGCGACCTATGGTTCCAGGCACACACCTACCTGCAATCCTCAGCCATGGCCGTCATGTTCTTGGGATTGCTCTTCGCGATCGCTGAGCTCCGTGGCTTCTCCTTCAAATCCACGCACGCAAAGATCGGCACCGCGGCATTTGTTCTCGCTTGTCTGCAACCGATTAATGCTTATCTCCGACCGCATTTGCTCGCGGAGAATGGCGAAATTCTGCCAATGAAGAACAGGGTGATCTGGGAGTATCTGCACATTATCACCGGGAGATCAGCTGTGGTAGTCGGCGCCATTGCACTCTTCACCGGCTTGCAGCATCTTGGTGACAGGTATGGCAGCAAGAACATCAAGGGGTTAACATGTGGGTTGATCCTGTGGGTTGTGGGTGTCACATTGGTGGTTGTTTACCTCGAGTTCATGGCGGCGAGGCGAAGAAGAGGCGGCGGCGCAGATGACCTTTCGGGTAAATGGGTGCTTGGCAACACTGATGAAGATGATTCAGTTGATCTTTTGCAGTCCACTAAAATGGAGTCTGATTCGATTGAACCAATGGAGGTGCAGCTTGAGCCACTGAAAGGTTGATAAATTTTCTTTTTCAGTATACATAAGAGGATTTTAGATCAGATTCTTTATAGATAGTGAAAAATGGAGTTATATATGTCTCATTAAGGGATTATAGTTAAAGTTATCTGTTAGTACCTGGAATTGGAGAGAGCTTCCAATTTGGCTTCATAAGGGTGTAGAATAGGTTTTTATTTTTCATCTTATTTGGACTTAGGTCAACCTTTTCTTTTAAAACCTCCTAACTTGGTAGTGACTATGGTCTGTATGTATATTTGTACAATTTTGGTATAGCTAAAAGAAAAGGCTACACTTTCTTTAATTGTTAACTTTGTGATTCATACCTGACGATGTTTTACATCAGACCAATGCTGCAACTGTACAAAGTAATTGAGGGCTATCTGCAGTTTGAAATTGTCTTGTCCGTGCTATGTTTGAGCTTTGTTTCTTCAGAAAGGTAAGTTTGACATTTGTGCATGCCAATTCATATGCTGATATGCATTTCAGCATTTGGTAGTTTGGCACCAATGGGAGATGGCCCAACGTTAGGCCTTTCTGCATCCTGAAATGCCTGCTCAACTCAACTGATGTGATAGACAAACTGAAAGCAACACACTTTATGCCACATTACTAGAAATGCATATAGTTTCATGCTAAAGCAACTGTGCTAACCTTTTTTTATCAGCCATACACGGATTGCTTCATGCCGTCCTGACACGCACATCTGTTCTAACTTCCAAGGTTGTTGTCTACATGTCTTCCAACTTCAACTAATGTACTTTAGTTTGTTGACCCTGTGGATTGTCCATTTACAACGATGAGTTGGCTCTAAACAAAAACAATTTCAGGTACTACTCTCTACAATCTCCTTTGTTGTTTTGCAGCGTATTATATTGTGTTTTAAGTGATATGGACGTCAAGCTGCATGTTAGGTCTATATTTGTTTTAGTTGGGTATCCTCCATTCAGATCTGGGATCCCTTGGTAGTTGGCTTGCCACCGTTGCCAGGAAGAGAGAAAAATATGCAGGACTAGTGCATTGCCTGTCCTTGCATTGGAGTCTGAAGCCTTCTTTTCTTCTTTTTTGTTATTGTGATGGATCATGGACATGGGCCTTTGAAGAAATGTGATTAGTTCTAATTTTGGTTGAGGTGGATGATTCTGTAGTTTGGTAAGGCCCAAACTAGACTCTGAAAATGAATAGATTGTAGAAGAGAGTGTCATTTGATGGGCCCAATTCCTGAACAAGTGAACCACACTATGTTTATCAGTCTGAACTACTGTTCAGTTGGAACTCCAAAACCAATCTGTGTTAGATTCGAGCAACACAGAACTGTGTTCTTTTAGGAAATCCATGTTTGAAATCAATACTATGGTAATGATTCCGTTGGTGTTAGAGAAATCCATGCATGAAATTAATACCTCATCTTTGAGAAACAATAACAAAAAAAAATGTCTATCTACCTAGTGAGAATAGCGCCATAAGCAGTCCCTAGTTGTACTTGTATCCTCCCTGCTCCCTGTACTCTGTTTTCGTTTCTTTTCTTCTCCTGCCCTCCTGATGCTGTTTCTTTTCAGCTTGTTTTCTCTGCACTTCGGTGACCTTGTACAGTTCTCCCTTTTCTTAATATAAAACCAGCAAAGCTGGCATAGGTTTCAAAAATAAAATATCTATCAATTTACTCCGGATGGTTATTTTATCCTGACCATGATAGAGAAATTTACTTCACGGTTAAACTGCATATTCCCACCATCCAAAAAACTTAAACCTAGGAGAGGATGTGACATTTTTTTTTAGTACAATGAATCTCGATAAAGGGCTGTCCAGATTCATTGTACTAGGAGATATCACATTCTTGACTAGGTTGATTTTTTTAGGACGGAGGGAGTATGCTGAACATGGACAGGAAGATTCATAATCTCCTGGTTTCACCTCTAATTTTTGGAAGCATAAGGAGTTGTACACAAGATTCATACCTCCAATCATATGCCATTGCATTTGCATAGGACCCATTTTGGATCACTTTTGACCTACCCCTTGGCTTTCAACTGAACTGGTTCTGGTTTTTTTGCTGATGAAGTCGACCTGCATTTACTGAATCATGAACACTCCTCGACTGCCACAATTTGGTTAAGTCCACTCCACTCCAGCCTGCCTGCTGCCTGGTTTGATGGAGATGGTCCCTGCAATGCACAACCTGCATGATGCAGAATTTGAGGAGCAGGCCACATGTTGCTTCCTGGCTTATCTGGCTATGCTTATCCCTGAATTTAGATTACCATTTCATTATCTTTCATATTCTTGTGAGATTTTTTTTAGTCGAACTGACCTAACTTTAGTGATGTCTACTTGCAATTTTTGCTGCTTGCAAAATTACACAATAGTAACTCTTATTTTTACAGTGTTCTCTACTAAAAGTATTGTAGTAGTACCAGCATTATTGCAAGTAGAAGTGATACGGGTAATATATTTATGAGTTATAAACTTATAGGTGCTAGAAAATTATTCTACTAGCAGTAATTTATGTGGTGCTATAAATACATAGGATCCCTTGGATGAGAAAAAGATTAAGAAAAATTCTATATTGATAGTAGAGATTACCGTAAAATTTGTCCTTATGGTAAGGTCAGGTCGACTAATAAGTCAAATATGGTTGTGCTTATCCATGATGGTATTGGATTTTTTAGGTGAGGTTGGACTATTAGCCATGAACATATTATATGAACTCAAATAATAGTAGTACTTCCTCCATTTCACAATGTAAGTCATTCTAGCATTTTCTATATTTATATTGATGTTGATGAATCTAGATAGATATATATGTCTAGATTTATTAATATCAGTATGAATGTGGGAAATGCTAGAATGACTTACATTGTGAAACGGAGGGAGTAGAAGACTATTTATTTATCCACATATTATATGAACTCGGATAGAACAAACCAAAACCTGTCTTGCTCTGGCAAGACAGTGGCACAATAACGACACATTAAACAAACGACAACACTAAAAAAATGTGAAAAATCCAACAGACAGTTTGCAGTAGGGACTGCTTGTGACCTACTCCTAGTACTTAGAAACAAATACTTCCAGAATCTCAGATTGTCATTCTTACTGTGTACAAGCGTCCGTGTTTCTTGTGTTTCAATTTTCAAATAGAGATACTGTAAACCAGACCAATCACATGTATTGTGGCTGTATGTCCTCGCAGAAAAGGTATCCTGCAGTTCTGCATGCATAAACTGCCTTCATGGTTAGGTTTCAGGCAATCCAGATATGATCATATGAGATCATATCAATAATTTTTCAGGTCCACCTGCTTAAATGTGCCCTGTAGCAAGCAGCCACAGGGAATCTAGCAGTGCTCATTACAATTCCAAATCATAACATCCTACCAGATAAATTTGTCCATGCAGGAAAAACTTGAGTAAAAACAGCAATGATCTGGAGAAAAAAATGTTAACTGATTGAGGAAGATTTTTCACAGTTTCTGCATCAGTAAAATGGTCATCATCCTTCTCTCCGGTAGCAATGTACAAACTGGGTTGCATTACTGACACAAATGATTTATACACAAAAGCATTTTGATCCCTAAAACTCATTTTGAGGATAACCTAGCACACAACCTACACATGGGCAATACAGGTACAGTAACCGCATCACTGTTCCACATGGTCCTATGAAATGATAAGCGTACCGATCGTCCTCAACAGCTCTGCTTTTGCAGCCATCTCCTTGCTGCAGATTTTTGTTCTCAGTTCATCTGCACTTAGATCTGCCTCTGAATTTGCATTGCTAGTATCACTCGTGCAAAGAGTTGGAGCTTCATTGCATTCTTTGAACCGAAAGCAACTGACAAGGTGATCATTGGTCAGCCCTGCTGCCTGCATGAAGGAATATATGATTGTTGGGCCCACGCCTCGGAAACCCCTTCGGACCATGTCTTTGCTGATCATGTCTGCCTTGGGGCTCTTGACAGGGACTTGCCTTGGATATCGGAATTTGCTCACTATTGGCTTGTGGTTCAAAAAGCCCCAACAGTATCGATCGAAGGATCCAAATTCATCTACAATCTGAGTTTTGAGGGAACCTTGTTACTTCAATCAAGACATACATAACTGAAATTGTAACTAGGTATGAGTGTATGATCAAGCATGCCTTCTAACCTTAAGTATCTGTCGAGCATTTTCAACAACTGCTCGGAGTTTTTGCTCTGACAGAAGGGAGTTGGCAACACTTCCTGGTGCTACAAGCTTCTTCTCATTTATTTTAGAGATAGCAACAGGATCGAAGTCCACGAAAATTTCCCTGGAAGATTTGGCACAGATGTTAGGAACAAAGTACATAATTTCTTCAGTTCTACTATGTAACATTAGAGAATCCATACCTGAAAAGTTGCCTCCTTTTAAGAATTTCAGGCCATGTGAGCTCGGCCAATGCACCAGACAGTACAAGCAGCTCAAACAATCTCCTGTGAAATCGGTCATGATTCGACATTCTCAGACTGTCAGTTTCTTTGAATAACAAGAATGAAAGAATACATGAATTCACAATTTTTCATACCTGTCATCATGAACTGGAACACCCCACTCCTCATCATGGAAGATGACATAGCAAGGATCTGATCAGAGACAATGAATGGACAGTAAGAGATTGAAAAGCCAGCTTTCTTCATGACAAATGATGCAGAAAGCAAGAAATACTTCATCAGTAAGGTAAAGAAAAAGATCTGGGAAACCATAGCATGTGACAATGTCAAACAAAGCAAGCATCCTACCTGAAGCTTTAGTATTCTTGGGGTATAGATGAAGCTACCCATTAATATATAGCCTATCATTTTACCTATAGGTAGAGTGGCCTTTTCATTACCCAATTTCTGATAGTTTCAGTTCATTGCAAGATAATTCTGGCAGATTTTCATGGCAGGATGACTACCAAGCACGTGCAACAGAAAACTCTGAATTGGGACTAATCAAGTGATGGTTATACAGCAAAACACATCATTTTCTATTAGAATGTCCATTCAATGAATCAAACTAGAGCCTAGTGAGCTAATTACATATTAGGCCTGTGTGGAAGTAACAATGCAAGGTGATAACCAGATGCTAACACCTAACACGGAATCAACAAACCCTTGAAGGTAGTAAGAATGAAAAGGGCATCAATGGAGAACGTGCTCGCTTTATAGGCAAGACAAAGGAGACAATGCTCACTTTATCCAATGTAGGCAAAATGATGGAGCCACCTCCAAAAGGATAAACATAGTTTAACAACATAACAACTAGATGATCAATTTGTCATTTTTATTTGGGTCAAGAAGCCAGCATTAGTCTGCTGGTAAATTTTTAAAGCAGGGTTTGCCTATATTTACAACAAAATTCTCAATAAGTATGCTGAGTGGAAAATCATACTAAATTATGATAAAATAACAGAAGCTGCAACACATAAATGGAGTATGAACTAAGCACAAATTATATTCCCTACTACTCAAATTAAAATCAAATAATGATACAATCAAGAAGCCAAGAAGCAAGAACTCACCACTGGTCGGAGTCACCCACGCGCACCTCCTCTTCCCCGCCTCCGGTGTGGCCGGTGCGACAACCTCCGCATCGGCGGCAACCTTCTCCGCCGCCGCCGCCGCCGCCGCCGCCTTCACTGGAGTCTTCCCCCGCCTCGGCACGGCGGGCGCCACCCTGGACCAGCTCCTCTCCAGCCTCCCACCGGAGGAGTCCCGGCCGCGGAGCGACTCCACGGAGGCATCCGAGGAGCAGGACGCGTTGAGCGACAGGTTGAGGTGCACGGGCGCGTCGTGCGCCGCCTTCCTCGCCGGCGGCGGCTGCGGCTGCGCCCGCCTCGGCGACGGCAAGGGGGACGAGCCCTTGCCCACGCCGCCGCCGGCATTCTTCTTGGCGCCCTCCTCCTCCTTGGCCGGAGGAGCGGCGGCGGCGGCGGCGGCGGCGGGTTTCTCCGGCGTCCTCGCCGCCGTGTCCGCCTTCCGCAGCGGCTTCGGCGAGGGCTTCCGGGCGGCGGCGGGGCCCGACCTGGCCTTGTTGCCACCCGGCACCAGCACCGGCCTCGCGTCCGCGTCCGTCTCCGCCACGTTCAGCGACCGGACCCTCGGCGCTCCGGCCATGGAAGCCGCCATTCCCGCCGCCGAAAGAATCAAATCTTCGATACCAAAGAAAACCGCTCCTCCTCGAAGCCCAAGAACACACAGCCTCGAAATCCAAACAAGAACTACACCAAAGCCTCCGACTCTCCGAGACAAGAACCCTAATCCCAGCCCAGGGTTCGGCAGCTTCCGCCCCGCATTGCACGGCTCACCAAGAAACCACACCACGGCGCCACGGCGGAGGCAAGAGGGGAGCCCGGAGATCGAGGAGAGGCAGGCTGCAGCAGCAAGCTACAGCTACTGCTGCTGCTGGTGGTGGTGGTCGAGAGGAGTGGAATCCAAGGAGAGGAGGACGAGGAGGTTGGTGGTGAGAGGAGAGGAGAGGAGTAGTGGTTGGTTGGGTTGTGTGTTTTATACATACTTTTATTTACTTCTCATTTCGAATTTTAGTGTTTTTTTAGTTTTTAATTTTTTATATTTCGGTGTCCTTGAGGAAGAAAACATGGGGGATGCAATACTTGGTCGTATTTGCCTGCATGTGGGCCCGGCATTATCTCACTGTCTCTCATGGTGGTTGTCCAAAACGACCGGGTACATTTTGGCAAGGCGTCTGCGATTTATTTATTTTTTTTGGTTTTGCATTACACAAACTGAATCCTAGTAACATTCTCCCTACATTTCAAAATATAATAATCTAGGGCTGATTTGGTTTGAGGCCTAAATTAGGCTTACCAATATTTGGCAATTTTAATAGTGTTTAGTGTCTATTCGGTTTGAAGCCAAATTTTGGCATGCCTAAGAAAATAGGTCATTTCAATAGTGAACTTAAGGCTATTTTGGCTTCAATCCAAACACAACCTTACCATATTAAAATTAGTCATACCAAAACTTGCCAGAATTTAGTATTGACAAAATTTAGTAAGGCCTATTTAGGCCACGAACCAAACCAACCCCTAGAATCAGATGGAACATTTCTACTACGAATATAGATATACTGAATACCTGAAAATGTACTATCTGATCCTAAGTTCTTATATTTTGGGACGGATGGAGTACATATTATGAAAATGAGTGATATTGTTACACTTTTCTATGAACTTGTTAAATCTAAAGAGACATTATTTATGAAACGAATGGAGTAGAAGTTAGCACAACACAAAAGGAACAGTAACATGTTTCATGAGACAGATCGGATCAACAGGTGGATCAGCTCATGAAAGTTGAATGGGGGAACAGCCCCTGCCCCACTGGCCGTTATTAGCCCGTTACCGGTGGAGGGTGTAGTCCACAGCGACCTAAATGGGCTTGGCCCACGCACCTTTTACCGCTTTACGCCCGTACGCCTCGCCCTCGCCGAGAGACATTGGTCGGGTTGCTTCCAGAAACCGGGCCCCACCGAGGTAGGTGGACACGGTCCACTGGACCGGTCGGCGTCTCCTCCCACGAAATAAATGGATTCAAATTCAAACTCAAGTTTAAAGAGAAAATCGAAGAAAGGCCGTTGACAAGTGCCCAGTTTGAATTGGGCACTTATCAATAATATTTCTTGGATTTTTTCTTAAAATAATTATCAACTGAAACTGAAACTCAATTTTGGAAAGGTCCTTAACTCAAATCCAAACAACTCTTGAAACGTAGCACATGGAATGGACGCGGAGAAATTTCTGTTCTTTAGCTTATCGGCCGTAGCCAAAATTTAAATTTTAAAACTTAATTTTAGAGTTGGTTTTTATTTTTTTTATCTTACTTCTTTTCAGTATTACTGATTTTTAAGTCGCTAAAAACATAGTACATATTAAAATGTTACGTATATATTATTATTTTTAGTTTTAATAAGCTGTAGGGTTTTTTAATCAGCTGTAGGTGAAACGTTGGCACGGTAGAAGATGAGTAGTACTATTCAGTGATCATCCAAACTTAAGGCTGTGTTTAAGGAGAAAGAGATAAAAAAGATTGGAAAGATACGCAAAACGAGGTGAGCCACTAGCGCACGCATGATTAATTGAGTATTAACTATTTTAAACTTCAAAAATGGATTAATATGATTTTTTTTAAAACAACTTTCCTATAGAAAATTTTTGTAAAAAAACGCACCGTTTAGTAGTTTGGGAAGCGTGCACACGGAAAACGATGTCCTTTTCTCACCCAATCCCCCAGAACTAACGCACCCTAACGCCTCTCCAATCATCACTCAGCACAAGTACAAGGATGCAGCTTTCAGGGTAATCTCAGATCATGGAATTCCAGGACACAAACGAGAGCTTTTTTTCAACACATTTTCGTGCCACAGTTTGCTGTACTCCTATGTACCGATCGCGAGAGATCATGTGAAACTCATAAACGCGAGTCGTTGGAGGTGGTTAGAGAGATCATCAATAAGCCAAGAGGGTAGAGGTGTGAGTGAGAGTGACCACAGATCAGAGAGATTCAGAGATGACCAATCATGCATGGCCTGTGTGTTTCTCGCATCCTGTCACCTCCCCTGAGGCTTTGGGATCGAGGAAAACGATGGGTTCTACGGTTCTTCCATTGATTGGGGGAAGGTTTGCTTGGTCTTCGTCTTCCTCACAGCAATGTCGATGTGAAGACGGGGTTTGCAATATCGTGCGGTTACACTTAAATTTTGAAATCTCGTAGTTTTTTAAAGTAACCTCACGGTTTTCTAGGTAACGGTGCTATCGCCGGGTAACAGTGATATCGCCGAGTAGCGGTAACCCTCACCAAAAAGGGAAGGGAAGCACTGTGCGGCGATGGATAGGAGAGGGAGAGAGGGGGGGGGGGGGATGGGTTGATAGGGTGCAACTCCATCTCCATGGGAGCAGCCTGTGATCTGTGTGTGCATGCACAATGATTGATTGTTGAGGATTTGGTTGGCTTTGAATGGCTGTGTAAGGACAGGAAATTATTGTTTTTGTGGAAATTCTTGTCAGGTTTTGTTTCTGAATGTCTTTTGGAATGGAAGGTGTGGTGGTATGCAGTTTGAGGTACAGTAGCATAATCATAATTCAGAAATAATGTCGGGTTTTACACTTTTCACTGACAGGAGAAAACTCTGAATAAACTCGATGCTCTCAAATTGATTAGATGAGGCAATGCTCAAGAGGTAGTAAAATTTACACTTGTACAATGTTTTCTGAAAGTTTACACTTCTCATCTGGGAAGTAAAATTTCTGTAAACTAACTTATTGGAGAAACGAAAAAAAAATATCTGCAGATTCTTGACAAAAACGAGCAGTGAAACTCCTAATGTTGTTGATGCATGTGATCTCCTGTTGAATGGCGTTTCTGTCCTGCAACTGTCCAGCTCACTCCGTGACGTTCTTTATTGGCAATAAGTGAAAAAAGACCTACTCCTAACTGAAATGATCACCTGATATTATGCAGATGCTTCCAGTGGTTTTACAGGTACAGTGTATGGAGAAAACCAATCTGCATCAAAGATATCCTGCAGCTGCGAAACAATGGCGGGGCTGTATGTTCCGAAGCTGACACCGGCTGTGGTGTAGAAGTAATCCCAGATGAGGTTGCTGGTGCCGATGTTCGCCCTCACATCGCTGACGGCGTACTTGCCATGGTTCACCCGGGTGAAATCAGGGTAGCGATTCCCCGTCGCAGCGCCTTGCGCCAATGCAGGTCCGGTCTTGTTGTACCCAGGAACCACATAGTATTTGATCTCAACCTTGCCCATGCAGTGGTTGTAGCTGGAAGATGTGCAGAGGATGTTTGAGTATAGAAGGCTCTTCAAGTACTTTTCGGTGTTCGGGATGAAGTGCGTCCAGTAGGCTACGAGGATCCTTACAGTTGCATTCTTTGAGAATATTACCTATCAATAATCAGATCACACTCAATTAGTACATGGGCACACAATTGCTGAGCATAGAGACTTTACAAGAAGAAAGTTAAAAGAAAAAAACGTATTTAAATATAGAGCTCAGTGATGTTAGATACATTTAGGCTTCCAAAGTAAGGAAAGTATCAATTCCCAACGTGCTGGTATCAGCAATCTTGGTGTTCAAGTCATAGAAAACACAGATAATAGTAGTCTAGTATATCATGGTTACTCATGATAGTGCACTACTTGGGCATCTGTAGGTTGCTGCAGTCACATGTAAACAGCAGTGCCCCGTCTATGAAGATTTTAGTGACCAACTGACCACACATAACTACAGAAGTATTAACCAGCTGAGGTATGCTTGGAGGATCTTATATACTAGTAGTAATATCAATTCTGTCGCCACTACCTTCTTGCATTCTACAAGTCAAATACTTGTTAAGTGATCCAGTATACTACTGCGGTTTTGTAGAAAGAAGAACATTCTTAAAGAAAGTGACCTTTATTGTTCATAACAAAATTGATGTATTCAACCTAAATGGAAATACCTCTGATATTGCTGATGACAAGGATGGCCAGAACACTGTTTGAGTTGCATATTGCGACTGTCCCAGCCAGTCCATAGTACTTATCCGCACCACTCCCCCGAATTTGACAGACTTGATGGTGTCAAGCCAACCCTGCTCATCTGCCTGGAACTTGTCAAATGAAAGCTGCAATACATAAACAAATCGAATCAACAATTCAACATACTGGATGTGTTAATATCATGCCCCTTGGGTTTCAAAGCTCACAATAGCAGAATAAATTTATAGAAGTTAAATCATCAACCAATGCAGTATTTATAAAATGCCATGTAAAGAAGCACACCACTATAAATTAATGAATCATACAACTTGAATAAATATTTGATACTCTTGCCATCTAAGGAGCAGATGTTTCCGTCCTTTTCCGCCTAAACTTTGGGAGGTTGGAAACCTAAGGAAAATAATTTCTGGACATCGGAAATTTCTACTGGGTGAGTTACTAAAGAAATGGCCAACATCACAACCACTAGGAGTAATGGCAAATATTTCTCAGCGCCAATTATCTTGGCTACAATATTGGTAATTTATGGGGAAAAAATATGGATGATTTATGCATGCTTCAGCTATAGATTGACAAACAACAACCGTACTGGCTAGCATACTTCCTGCTGTTTATAGTGTGCTACAAAAACTAAAAGCTATTTTCTTCAAAAAGAGGGAAATATCTGAATTACCTCAGGAGGAGCATATGAAAGATAGCTCAAGTGGTGTTCCTTAGTAGAGCTCTTATACCCAGGGGTTTCAAATGAAAAATCAAGCATTTTAGGATTGGCAAGTGACGGATAGCCATCCACATATGGGACATCAACAGAGGGTGGAAGAGGTGACCTGTTGACATATTAATATGAGAGAATATTCAACACAAGAAAATTGTGTGGAAGAATAAGAGAATGACGCCTGCAAATATTATTTAGAGCAATTGATGAAAGAGAAATGCAAGACAGGCTGAAAGTACATAGTAACAAGTTAGCAACCATCGAATATATTAAATGTTTCAAATGTTAAATAAAGCAGATAATGCCCTATAACATGCATGAGAAAGCATAAAAATAATCTGGAGCAACTACAGACTAGAGATGAGGGAGAGGTCAACTAAGCTACATGAGGGACGGAAAAAAGCATAGTGTGGATAAAACCCTTTAAAGGATCTCCATCCACTACTGAGCAAGGTGTTATGAGAAGTTAGACCAGAATATTAAAAAGATAGACTGGTTAGTATAAAATGTATTAATGTGTTGCCATTTAGGTACTGGTTTGGTTTTGCATGAATTTATGTACTAACTCAGTATAAACTACAGAGAAGGCTATAGACCTGCATCTTTCTTCTGGTTTTAGAAAATGTGACCAGCATGGCACTTTTCTAAAAGCTTGCCATTGCTTGTCCCAGGCAACTTTGGTGTAAGCAGTTGAGTTGAGAGTTGAAAGTTTCCAAAGATTTTGAAAGTATATTTCCACAGTTTTTGCTATCTGTGGACAATCAGCAAAATAAATCCCAAGCTCTTTCACCTGCAATATAAGTCAAATCTAGTTTCAGACAGCTTCCACTTAACTATGTTTTTTTGGCACAATTTTTCAAATTAATATAAAATTGGTAAGTGCAATATTTAGTATTTAGTAACATTCTTATCAGGAAAATTTAGCTTTTATATATACCTGACTAAGGGATTTCCAATCGTTGTTTGCAGATCCAATATACACATCCTTTTTGTCAGATATCCACACTTTTGCATGCACAACACCAGAGCCCCACCAATCACCAAAAAGTAAGGTTACATTTTGTACATTTGGTCTTCCTGCAGCGAGATCAGCACTCTCTTTGTCAAAATCAGGCGCAAATCCAGAGTGTTGCACAATCCTGTAAAGAAGCTACAATTCGTTAACAAAAATAACTCATTTTAGACTTCTATGCACATGATAGATTTAACTGTTTTTAGTGCAGGATGTCATGCCAATGCTATCACTGGGTAATATGGATTTCATGTGACACAGAAATTACTGATTAACTGTGATGTCAACAAACTACTCCGTATAAACTACAGTTTCGATATCAACACTTACCTGATTTTGATCTTACGATCTGCAGCTTTCTCCAGTGCCTTATAAACCCGTTGCCCCTTGTCAGCTCCGAACCTTACCATTTCACTCTCAGAGTACCCATAATCGCCTGATTTAGGGTTCTTAGGTTGAGCTAAGAACTGCCAGTATTGAGCAAGGACATCCAGGCTTTTTGTAGCATTCCCAGATAGCCATTGCAGCACATCCGCTGCAGATGACCAATTAGAAATCAGCATCCAGTGGACAGCAACCCTATCTAAATGAAGATAAATACTGAAAATATCCAAAATTGCATTCTTCTGATGTTTTACCACATAATGCGCAAACAAGAAATTTGTAATCCTAACATAACCGTGCTAGAATCACCAATCATATATCAAGAACATCCATAAAAAAAATTGTCCATATCCCAAATATTACTGCAGATTAGCTGAACAGAAGTTGCAGCAATCCACAATCCCTTACCGAGCACCACTACACCAGCATTATCAAATGCGCAGCCCAAAAAGATATAGTTCCGTACTTAAGAATATCTCATACTAGTATACTACCAATCCACAGAGTAGAGCTACTACTGGAGCAAACCAAACAGAACACTCTAAAAGATTTGCATCTTTGCAACACGTTCCAGCATTTGGCACCCAAACCCCAAATCGGCATGGCCAAGAAACCCAAATCCCCTATCCAGACAGCACCGATCCGCCTCGCCTCGCCTCACCAAGAACACGAACGCGCTCACGCAATGGGCGGAGAGAAAGGGAGAGAGCTGTGGTTACCAGTGGAGAGGACACCGGGGACGCGCCGCAGGTGGGGCATGTCGGTGGGGATGGACTGCACCAGCCACGCCTTGCAGGTGGCCACCTCCGCCGCCGCCGGCGCCGCCGGCGCACCGGCGGCGAGGAGGAGGAGCAGCAGGAGGCGGCCGCGGCCGCGGGCGGAGGAACGCATGGCGGCGGCGGCTTAGCCGGCTACTCTGCTGCGCCTTCCGTGGAAGCGTCAACTGGCGAGCGAGCTGTCAGTGTAACACCACCACTGGGAAAAAAAAAGAAAAATTTGGAGAAGGATAGAGTTGATATTAGCGGCGAATCGCCCGACGAGAAGAAGGATTTCGCGGGAAAACCACAATGATCTCCATGGAAAACCTGGTGATAAAAATGAGATGAATAGATCATGAACAAAAAAAAAATAAATTGGAAATTTTGGCACGCCGAGATGATTCGTCACCATCAAACGGCGGCGCGTGCGTGCATTGCGGTGGGTCAACGCGCGCTGCGGCTGGAATGGATGGATATTCCCCCGTTCATGATTGGATCTCGAGTCAAAGATCCTGTGTGAAGGGCTTTCTCATCCCGAAAAGTGTTCTTCTTCTTCAGCCACGCTGGCTGATGACATGTCTGCAAATTCCATAGGTCAGGAATCAGTCCTCTTGAGACCAGAAGAAATCATCTCATCTTCATTTTGAATACGCTATGGCCTCATTCTTTTCTCACCGTGTCTTCACGTGAAAACCTTTTATATGGAAATTGTTCTAAAATACTAGATAAATATATTTTTTAAATTTATAGTAATTAACACTTAATTAAATAATTAATCATATGTTAATACCACTTTATTTTACGTAAAACACTTCATCTTCATCTTTATCTACATGAGTTTCAAACACCACCTATTAGCACATAATTAATTTGAAGATAAAGTCAACGCACGCAAAAAAAAAGAGAACAATTAGCACATAATTAATTGAGTTTCAACTATTATAAACCTTTTTTTAAAGAGGTGTGCTTCTATGCTCCTAGAAAAAAGTTGCATGAAAACCAAAGCTCATCAATGGCAGAGATTAAAAGCGGATTAACAGTGTAATCATCATTAGTGAGGGGTATTTTTGTCCATAAAATTTGGAGCCCAGTCTAACTCCACCGTAACCACGCGCACCGCCCACTTTTCACTCGCGTCGCCGCCACTGCTCCGCCCTCTTCCTCCCCCGCACCGCCGCCTAACCCAGCACCCATGGATATGTGCGGCGCGGGGGAACCAGAGTAGGCGGTCGGCTGGCGCCGTTGTGGGGAACGGGTGATGCCGATGCCGATGGAGCACTGCCGCCTCGCTCCATCTAATCCGGTTAGCCCCGCCCCTGATGACCTCCTAGCCGTCGCCACTATTTGCGCAACAAGATTCGCCTTGAGCGCGAGGAGCCGAGGACTACGGTAACGTGGACGTCGAGCACGCCGTCGTGCCAGCAGCTGTCAAGCGGCCCTAGCAACAGCTGAAGCAGCAGCTTTTTCGGCACCATGATTTACCCCTCATCCAAGGCCAAGTTGCCATTCCAGCTTGTGCCTTTTGGCTTGTTTGATCTCTGTCTGCACTGCAATGGCCAGTTTGCTGCAAGTTTGATGTGATCATGTGAAATTGTGATCGTGGATATATTGGTGGTGAGCTGTATAAATGAATGGGGGAGGCAGAATGGCACGCAGATGCTTGTTTATGAGTATGTTCCCAACGGAAGCGCCTATACACATTTACATGGCGATTCCTCATTGTGTTATCATAACATTCTTTTCATGGAAGAAGAGGACGGAGAGGCGGCACTGCTTGCAGGAGGAAGCCGGGTGGCGCTAGACTGAGCGGCGCCGGGGCCGAGAAGCGCTGAGGCGAGGGGAAAAAAAAGGCGGAGCGCCGGGGCCGGGAAGTGACGAGGCGAGGGGAAGAAGAGGGCGGCGCTGCTTACCGGGCGGCGTGGCGAGGGAAGCGCTGGCATGCTTCCACGGCTGAGGAGCGGCGCTGCCCGAGGAGAGAGCGTCGCGGTCGCGGAGTAACCGGCCTAGTGGTGGGGATCGCTTCAAAGTTAATCCTATGGACAAAAATACCCCTCGCTAATAAGGATTAAGTGTTAATCCTGTTTTAATCTCAGCCACCAGTGAACTTTGATTTTCGTGCAGCTTTTTTTATTTAGGAGCATAGAAGCACATCTCTTTTTAAAAATATATTTATTATAGAGTAAATTACACTAGCGGTCCTTAAACTTGTAATGAAGTTTCACTTAGGTCCACGAACTTATAAAACGCACATCGGTATCCCTAAACTTGGTTTAATGCATCATCCCAGTCCAAAGTCTTATTTGACCGTGGTCTTGCCTATGTGGCATGCCACGTGGACGATGGCATGGCAAAATTTTCTTTTTCCTTTTTTTTTTCTCCCCATCTTTTCTCTCATTCCTCACCTCACGTGGTTGGTCAGCGTGCGTGCGCCGGAGGGGATGCGGGGCAGGAGTGGCGTGGGCGTGCTCGGGCGCCGGCGGGCGGGAGGAGAGGAGCGGCGCACGGACGCCGCCTGGCGGGAGGAGAGGAGCCGCGACAGTGGGACGGCAGGGCAAGCTCAAGCTCGGCAGCATGAGCTCGACGGAGACAATGGCCATGTGGGGGCCACCGCCGCCAGAGTAGTGGGGGCGAAGAGGCCGAGCCGGGGGAGAGGTGTCGCCGACCGCGGCTGCGCGTGTGGGGGGAGGTGTCGGCGAGCAAGGCACGAGCGGGGCGGGTGCGAGCTCGACAGTGGCAGCGGGGGGACAGGGCGAGCTCAAGCTCGGCAGCGCGAGCTCGACGGCGACAACGGCCATGTCGAGCTCCGTGTGGCGGAGGACGACGAGCTCAAGCTCTCTCCCTTCTCCATCGGCAAGCTTGAGCTCTCTCTCCCCTCTCCTCACAACGATCGGGGGGCCGCGACGGCGACAAGGGCAGTGAGGTCGCCGGATGCCGCCACCGCTGCCTGGATGCCGCTTCCTACTGTTGGATGCCTTCGCCGCCGCCCACTCCCATCTTCCCATTGCCTATCCCCTCCTCCGCCGCGGTCATCTTCTTAACCCTACCTCTAGATGACCCACCCCACGTGCTGACATTCTGAGGAGGAAGGCGAGGCGGCGGTAGGCACGGAATACGGCGGCGTGGTCGGTCGGGTTGGTGGACGGGGGAAGCTGGAGGACGGCGAGCGGGCGGAGCCGCGCCCCCCGCCGCTTGGATGCTGCCGCTGCTGCTCCCCACCGCCGGATGCCGCTCCCACCATTTCCCCCATTTCTCACCCCTACCATGGACTTCTCTGGCGGCAGCGGCGGCGACAGGGGTGGCGGAGGCAGCGTTTCGTGCGGGAGGGTGCAGGCGGAGTGGTGGCTGGAGATCAAGGGAAGCTCCTTGATGTGACCATGGCTACTACGGATGCAACCATTGCTCACATCATGGAAGAACAAGATGATATCAAGATCAAGTCCTCTAAGTGCTGGAATCAGATTCGGCCACCTGCTACACTGCTGACTTCAAATGGCCGCCGAATCTGCATACGACCTCTGTTTTTGGCCCGTGAGTACTTGATGGAAAGCTCTCAGAGTCCTCTTTCCAACAGATCCAGCATCATCGCCAAATTCCATCCAAGTCATCCACAGATGAAGAAACAAGGTGCTGCATCACCTGTCATGGGCCTGTGGGCTTGTAACTTCATTTGGGACCCCGGCCCAGGTGGGGCCCATGTGGGGTGCGCCCCAAGCTGGTGGAGCACGACCCTAGGCACCCCTAGGTCGTCCTCCCACCCCTATATATAGCTAGTTACCCCTTCAGGGTTTCTCGGGTTTTGATAGATTAAAATTTAGCCATTGCTACTTGCTTGCAGCGCGCGTGTCGGCTAGACCGTCCGTCTGCTTGTTCTTCGGAACCCCAACTTATCATTTTTATTAAATTCCTATTTGCAATATCAGATTGCTTTTATCTTGTTCTTGCTTGTTTCTTCGATTTGCTTGCAGGAATAGGGTTGATCTGCACTGGCAAGATCAACAACCCACGGAGAGGTGTATCGATCGCTAAGACGCAACACAACGTCTCGTACGCTTGTAGTCGGATCGTCAACGTTTCTCCCAAATCGTAGTTATCACAACTCACCGAAAGATCGGGCCAACAACAGCCTTGAGTGTTGAGAGGAACTCAGGTTCATCACTCCTCGCGGCGAGGGACCTCGTCGGCTGCAAGCGGTTCGCGGAGCGCGCGGTGGAGGCGGACCCGCTACTCCCTGGCGCCAACAAGCTCCTCACCATCACCGACGTCCTCCTCGCCTCCCAGTCGCTCCTCTCCTCGGGCCACGCCGACCCGCTCGTCGTCCCATACCCGCGCCATCGCCATTGCGCCTCGCCGCCCGCCGCCGCTCATGCCCTTGCCTGCAAGAAGTGAAGAAAGGGAAGGGAGGAAAAAAGAAGGAAGAAGGGAGAAAAAAATCCATGTCATCGTGCACGTGGCGTGCCACGTAGGTAAGACCACGGTCAAACGAGACTTTGGACCGGGATGATACATTAAATCAAGTTTAGGGATCTCGATACGCGTTTTGCAAGTTCGTGGACCTAAATGAAACATCGTTACAAGTTTAAGAACCGCTAGTGCAATTTTGTCTTTATTATATATTTTAACTTAAGATTATCTATTGTTTCCGTAATACGGACTCAGTAGATAAGCTTGAGTTAAAATATTATAAAAAGAATGTGAGGAATAATTGATTTAGCATGTTTATACGTTGAGTTTTTAATGTAGTAAATTATCTATATTTATATTTTTGTGTTTTAGACGATTAATAGGTTGATGTGACATATTTGTATGTTAGTATTTAGTAATACATATTAATAATTGCTCTGTTTATACGGAGCTTGACCAATTTGGACTAAGCACAGATTCTATGAGAGCAAGTATAATAGTAAGCTATAAGCTTACTATAAGCTTACATGGATGGGAGAGATAACAAAAAAAAAAGAGAGTGTTAGCTCTCATGCAATAGCTAGCTTAACACAAGCTTCAAGACAAATACATTAAATATAAGTCTAAGAGATGGAGAGAGGAGAAAAAAATTGTAGCTAATCCTATAGCTAATTTATTATATATGTTAGCTTTAAGATGGGCTAATAGTAGGAAGTGAGCTATACTATTATCCTTGCTTTAAGGCTGTGTTCTTTTGTGCTGGTTGGGAACCTTCCCTTCTAGCACGGAAAACGGAAAAATACATTAGCACATGATTAATTAAGTACTCCTTCCGTCCTATAATATAAGGGATTTTGATTTTTTATTTGCACTGTTTGACCATTCATTTTATTTAAAGAATTTTAGAATTATTATTTATTTTATTTGTGTCTTACTTTATTATCCAAAGTACTTTAAGCACAATTTTTTATTTTTTATATTTGCACAAATTTTTTGAATAAGACGAGTGGTCAAACAGTGAAAGCAAAATGTTAAAATCCCTTATATTATGAGACGGAGGGAGTATTAGCTAAAACTAACTTGAAAAATGAATTAATATGAAGTTCTAAAGAAAAAAAATTTGGTGTCACATCGGACGTTTGACTGGATATCGGTAGGAATTTTTGGACACGAATGAAAAGGCTAATTTCATAACTCGCTGGAAACCGCGAGACGAATTTTTTGAGCCTAATTAAGCCGTCATTAGCACATGTGGGTTACTGTAGCACTTTATGGTTAATCATGGACTAATTAGGCTCAAAAGATTCGTCTTGAGCCTAATTAAGCCGTCATTAGCACATGTGGGTTACTGTAGCACTTTATGGTTAATCATGGACTAATTAGGCTCAAAAGATTCGTCTAGCGATTTCCTCCCTAACTGTACAATTAATTTTTGTTTTTATCTATATTTAATACTTTATACATGTGTCCAAAGATTTGATGTGATGTTTTTGGGGAAAAAAATTGGAACTAAACTGGCCTCAGTGTCCTGAAATTAATTGCAAACAGTTCCAACCGTAATTAATTCCAAAGCCTGAAATCGGACAGTGTGCAGGAGCTGATTGGGCCATTTTCATCACACGTCACATCGGCCGTCCAATTTCCAGTGGCACGTACAGGCCATAAACTTATCCACGATGAGGCCATCACCGGCCCACCTCCGCCCGAATCAATCCACCTGACGGGCCGGAGCCTGACGCGGGCCGCGGGGAATATGTCAGACTTGGTTGCAAATACTCTCTTCGCGGAGGTTATATATGCAAAACAACCAGCACCGGCGGCCGCAGCCTCACGCGGCGACCTGAAAACCTCGCAGCCGTAAAACCCTAGAGGCGGATTCCGGCCGCAGATCGGAGGCGCGGCGGCGGCGGCGGCGGCGGCGGCAGAGGAGGAGTGTCCGGTATGCAGATCTTCGTGAAGACGCTGACGGGGAAGACCATCACTCTCGAGGTCGAGAGCAGCGACACCATCGACAATGTCAAGGCCAAGATCCAGGTTGCTCCCCCCTCTCTCTGTATGCCTGTATGCATGCTTCTTGGCTCGATATGCCGCGATGAGATTTGCCATGGCTCCGCCGATGTGAGTTGTGGCGGTGGTTATTATTATTATTTTTGTTTGGAGAAGTCTTGGGATGATTCTGTCCTGATTTAGTCAGGAGATATATGTTCTTGTAAAGGGGAAAGTATTTCATGGAGATTGTACCAGCTATTTCAATTTTTAATCACTGATGATGCTAGGTTTACGATAAAATCTTGAGAAAATTCCCTATGTAGCATAAAAAAAAAGTTGCTCTTCCCTCTATAGCACCCAAACTTCAAAAGTTCCCTATCTAGGCACTTCTAAAATTTCCCATCCCTATGTAGCACTTCCGTTAATTTTTACACTTATGGTGTTAACTTAGCAGGAGAAAAGACGGTTTTGCCCTTCTTTAGTTTTCAGACTTGCGTGTGCATGATCGTTGGTATTTTAGGCGTACAAGGGCTTAGTTGGATCAAATGATTTTCTTAGAAACTCTAATATAATAACTAGGTTAATGAAACTTTACCCTTTTCATCCTATGGAATTATTTTCTAAGTCTCATTTGTTCATTTTCTAAAATATAAATGAGCATAAAGTTAGGTGACAAAATCTCTTGTTACGATTATTTTATTTTCAAATTTACAATAATCAATCCCCTCGGTGAGAAATGGGACAAACTTAATTACATAGTTATTCACCACATGCGAAAGACTTTTTGAACGACAGTGAAAAGAACGGGTCACTAATTAAATTGATACCCACCGGCCACCACTTCGGTCTTTAGGAGAAAATGACAATAATATATTCGCCACGAGATAAATCCCAGTTAGAAATGGAAGGAGCAATTTAATTTCACCATGAGCCAAATCGCAGTGAAAAGGATAGCAAAAGTCACTCAAGCTAGAAACATAAAGAAGGGCAAAACCGTCTTTTCTCCTACTAGTTAACACCGTCAAGTGTAAAAACTAACGGAAGTGCTACATATGGAAGGGAAATTTTAGAAGTGCCTAGATAGAGAATTTTTGAAGTTTGGATGCTATAGAGGGAAGAGCAACTTTTTTTGATGCTACATAGGGAATTTTCTTTATCTTATTATTTCTGTGCTGTTGTAGTAGATTATAAATTGCCATATGCTGGTGCAGCGTGAAGTGAAACCGTAAAATTGAGAGGAAGCAAATATATACTAGTATTGTATTGCTAGGCTTGGCTGGCTGTAATACGGATCTCCGTAAAATGCGGATGAAGGGTGGTTGGATCGATCAATTTTAGGCAAACTTCATCTTTTAATGTTCAGGCTATAACCTGCAACTGATCATTGCATCTCCCTTACCTCATTTGCATATCTCCATAATCGTACATCAACTTAAATTACAAAGGCCTGAAGTTAACTCATTGGGACTTTTGCTATCACAAGTCTTATGGGTAACTTGTCGATTTACTTGCTGGCTTCCTTCAGCGAGGTTTAAGAAATCCACATGTTACACAAAAAATCACATAATTTGAAATGGAACTATTTTCCCTACTGCTTATGTATTGAGGAAATAATCCAGTGGCTAGAGTTATATCATTGAATACAACTGAGTGACTTACATACGTTTTTTTCCTTCTTTAACTTCAGGACAAAGAGGGTATTCCCCCAGACCAGCAAAGGCTGATTTTCGCAGGGAAGCAACTGGAAGATGGACGTACATTAGCTGATTACAACATTCAGAAAGAGTCAACGCTCCATTTGGTCCTGAGGCTCAGGGGTGGAACCATGATCAAGGTGAAGACACTCACTGGGAAGGAAATCGAGATCGACATTGAGCCCACTGATACCATTGATAGAATCAAGGAGCGTGTTGAGGAGAAAGAGGGTATTCCACCTGTTCAGCAGAGGTAGTCTTTTTCCCCTTGAAAATGGAATGCTGCTGGCAATTTTTGTGGTTATGACTTCTTTTTACGCATTCACTGAACATGATAAAATGTTATGTAGGCTCATTTATGCTGGGAAGCAACTTGCTGATGATAAAACTGCCAAGGATTACAACATTGAAGGTGGCTCAGTGCTCCATCTCGTGCTTGCTCTGAGGGGTGGTCAGTAGATGTAGTTTCCATGCCCGCATTATCTCTAAAGGGAGAAGCATATTTGCTATTCTATTTCTATCTGTAGTTGCTGCAGACTTATAGCTATATTTGGTAGGTTTATTGAAGTCCTATGCGATTGGCGCATTGTGTATTGGAATCAATTGTCATCTGTACTGGAAAGGAAATATTGGAACTAAGTTAAGCAGTAGTTTATCAATTGCCATTCTATTTCTGCTGCTGTCAAATCATCATTTTTGTGATTGTTTCTGGAGCAGATACTGCTGATCCAATATTGATTGATAAATACAGGTTTAATGCTCCTAGGAGAAAAAAACGTATAGCCAATTGGTATATGGTAGATCAGCTGTAGTCTCTAGTATATAAAGGAGGATCTGGGTCAGACATTATTCTCCAATAGATCAATGAGAATCACATGTATCTGTGTGCCATTAGTTATTAGTTATTTAGTTTATCATCACATGTTTAATGGCTTCAAGAGTAAGTCTTATCTTATTCAGTGATCAGATTTGTCGATCAATGGTTTTCTTTATTATAATTTATATATGAACTGTTAGATTACTGATTAGCTAGTCAATTAATAATTGTTTTGAAACAAGTCACTGGCCATAAGTTTATAGATCTACAGAATGCAAGGCAGTTTGTCTGTTCTCAACCAGAGAGTAATAAAGTACTATGTTTCGTTGGATAAACAACAAAGACATGCTTCATGGCTATCCTTGTAATCTGTATAATAACAATTGGCATCATTGCATAGGAAGCCATAGAACTAATTTTGCCTCTAATCTCTTTTGCATTTGTGAATCTAATTCTGTAATGATAAGAACTAACAATTTGTGTGGTATGACATTAGTCCTAATTTTATCTCCGACTAGGAGTATAGTGCTACAACTTTGAACAGTTCTCTGCAGTTGTGATTAGTGAATCTGATTCCTCGTTGGAAAGCAATACTGTACACATGCATTACAGTCTTAAGTGGTGTTCTTGTGAGGCAAGGTTATCCTTCACAAAGATAGGGAAAATGGTAAATAATAAATCTCCTGAACATAACCTGACATGGAGCCCCTACTGCCTACTGCCTAGATTCGTTCGGTGAACATTCTTTCGAAGATCAGAACAAGAACAACCACGCTGCCAAAAGAAAAAAAAAAAGGAAAGAAGAATCAGGGTGATGCAGAGAAGAGACATTTTATTCAGTGCTCCTGAACTGTAATGATTCTTGTTCAGTGCTTCTGAAAGATTATGGAGAAAGAAGGCATCAAGACTTGCACAGTCTTGTTCAATGCTCTTGAAAGATGATGGAGAAAAAGAAAGCATCCAGGCCTGAAAAATTCATCTGATTTTGCAGACACGTCTGCTATCTTCTCTTTGCAAAGATACATATGTTCAGTTTCAATCTTTCAAGTACACCATATGATCTCTTTAAGTGCATTCTGATGTATCACTTGAAGTATCTTTAATACAATACAGAAAGGATTGTGTTCCTATTGGATATTTAAAATAATGAAGTTTGCATGGTAATGTCGGATAACAAAAGGAGTTATTTTTTGAACAATCCTATGTCATATTCACCAGCAATAAAGGTTCAAAATATTCCATATGTTTCTCCTTTTCAGATTCCATCCAACATATCTTTGGTTTTCTATTGGCCATTCCCCCCCCCCCCCCCCCAACTTTTTTGGTCTGTACATTCTTCATGTTCCTGACTTAAAAGGTACTAATCCCACAATGTACATCTGCTTGTTCCTATCTAAAAAGGATCATCATTTTCTGTTTTGCTCCATCAAGTTGCAGTCTTTCTGAGGCCTAAGCTTGCCATGCCATCTCTGAATGATAGTTTTATTCCCATAATCCTATCTCCATATGATTATATTTTTAGACAGATTTACACCTGTATTCAAATTATAGCCAGAGAAAATAGATATTCCTGTCTATTCCTCCAATAATATATTCTGCTGCCTCATGTCTACATACTAATATGCTTATATACCAAGCAAAGCAATGTGGCTGACAGATTCTGTCTCTAATCTTCTCTGTTCTGCCATACATTCTTGAACATCTGTTCCACTTAAACTCTATTTAATCTTCTCTTTAAACCTGATTTTGCTCTGCACCTTTCTGCGCCGGTGGCTGCGCGCGGCGCCGGAGAAAGGCGATCTGTGAGTGTGATGTCCGTGACCACCACCACTCCTAGGTTTTTGCAGGGGACCAGGATAGGATAGGCGCCGCCAATGCCAGTATCCGTTAATCCGCTCTAGTTCAATAAAACGTTCTGTATGCTAGAAAAACTGTAATTCGGTTGATTATATTGCGGAACTAGAATGGATCAACAGGAACCGACGACGGAGCCGCACCTGTCCTTATAAGGGGACCAAAGATGAAAGAACCCTAGCAACTTGTACCAAGGCAACTTCTGACCATGTTCCTTCTGCCTTAGCATCTGCAAGCCTGCAACTTGCAGTATACTTAGGTTAATTTAATCAACCTTCTCTTCAGTGATACATAAGACTACTCTCTGTTCGATTAGTTTTCGCCTAGGTTCATGGATTGGCCAGCTGGTTCAGGACCATGCTATGATCCTTAAACCCAGTTTCATTAGAACCAAAGGGCAGCTTACCTTTTTCTTGAGTAGCCCATCCATGCCGTGCCCAGGAGCCTGGACCATCCTGACCAGAGCTCCCCTGTGAACTGTGAAGACGCCGTATTTGGCTTGTACGATGTGATCAAGGTAGTAGCACACTTTCTCTTTGTGGACCTCGTCGGCTTGGTCCATGGCCATATCATTGCCACCGATGCTAATCTCAGTTGGTCGTGTGCATCCTAATTGTGCAGAGGCCGAGAGTGTTCTCAGTGCTGTTATATCGCCTTGATATAATTGAGCGAATTCAATAAAAACTTCCGTTATCTTAAAAAAATAAAAGAAGAAGCTGATCTGCATGGAACTGAAAGCGAGAAATTGCAGCTTGTCATTGGTAGGCCAGATGAACTTTGATAGATCATGGAATATTTGATCAATCCTGTGAAAGGATCAAAGCAGAGATCGGATCTTTGCACTTGCTGCTGATGGAATATGGATGTTAAGCAGCATTGGATGAGCTAGTGGCTAAGTTAGTTAGTAGCTGGTGGTGGCTATCGATCAATCCATCCATACGTGCAGAATCAGTTCGTCTTTTCAGTGATTTGGCCGGTCAAAGATTGGCTGGTAGTACTCTGCTTAATTTCATATTTGATTTAGCCTGGTGAATTCTGCATGAATGATAGGAATAGATGCAAGGATTAGGCGGCGTTGTTGCTGTCAGGATATGCTTGTCTTTGAGTCTTTTTTTTTCTTTATGCTGTTGTGAAGCTACGAATATTTTGGAAAGGGATTTTTCAGAACAATTTGATAAGGATAGGTAGATTTCGATGCCGAATTGAAACGCCACTTTTGTTTCAAACAGTTTAGTTAATTACCTTTCTTATGATCATGATTCATGAGGTAATTGTAGACTGCTTTTCGCCGAAGTCACTGTCTTTCTGAAGATTTCAGGGCCCAAGATGGTTAGTAATATTTACTGGTTTTCTGTTTCATCTGAAGATTCACCTCTGCAAGCCTGCATTTTTGCTTATCCTGAAGAACCCTGAATATTCATGCTTGCATACCACATCGCAGTTTTTTTTTCTTTCATTTTGGTTTAATTAGCAGATGTAATTGTTGCCACAGTTGAAGAAACAACAGTAATTTTTCTTGCATTGACAGTGACAACTAATGCTGGATACTACTAAGCTAGCTAGCCATTGGTTGCTGCTCTTACAGTTACACTAGACCACTTTAGCTTGGGGAGCTTACACCGAAAATGGCAAGGCAGGTGATTGCCATTTGCAGTGCCAAGTGTATGTACATGTGTTTTGTCAAAATTTGGCAGAGATGGTGGGTGAAAATGGTGGTGGTTAGCCTCTGCCTCCTCCTGCCGTGCATGGCATGGCATGGCATGGCGTGGCGTGGACGTCGCCGTCGGTTAGAACTCGCGGGGGTCGACGAAGAGGTGGCGTCCCGGCGGCGGCGGCGGCGCCGCCCAGTCGTCGGCGTCGTGTTCGTCCGGGTTGAGGTTCTTGATGCACCAGACGTCCTCGTCGCAGCAGAAGCGGCGCCACCGCGGGACGGCGGCGGCGGCCGGGTCGTCGGGGGAGATGTCGGCGGCGACGACGGCGCACGCCGGGTTCTTGCGGGCGACGTTGTGGGCGTGGTGGCAGAGCGACCGGAGCAGCGCCGGGCCGTCCGGGCCGGACATGCGGAGGCCGTAGAGGAGGTAGGCGCCGAAGGGGCGGAAGATGTCCGGGATGGAGGGGAGGTGCAGCCACGGCGCACCGCGGTCGAGCGCCCGGAGCGCGGCGAGCGACGCGCGGAGCAGCGCCGGGGCGCCGCTCACGCGGAGGCTGAGCGAGCGTGTGGAGTCCCAGACGCTGAGCACGGCGAACGACGCGCCGTCAGCGGCGACGGCGACGAAGGTGCCGAGGGTGAGCTTGTGTGCGAGCAGCGCGGGCATGTCGGCGGGGAGGAACTCGGCGTCCTGCGGCGGGAGCAGCCGCGCGTACGCCGCCGCGGCGACCTCGGGGGGCAGCTGGAACACGCGGTGCCCCCTCGCCACCGGCAGCCGGTGCGCGTGCACCGGGTGGCCGATGAACTCCGGCCGCCTGAACGGCGCGTACCCGAACCTCCCCGTGAACAGCGCCAGCGACGCCGCGTTCGACTCCGTCGTCGCCATCGTCGCGTGCTCCGCTCCCCTCGCCACGCACCACTCCTCCGCCCGCCTCACCAGCGCCGTCCCGATCCCCAGCCGCCTACAAACACAAACACAAATCACACCATCAGCCTTGCATTGGACGCCATTGCTGGAAGAAGCAAGAGCAATGTTGGTGTGCACCATGAATGATCAAAGGAATCACCTGTGAGATGGCGACACCCTGAGGCCGAGGAGGTTGGCGACCTTCACGAATGGCTTCTCCTGCTTCCCGCCACGGCTCACCGTCTTCACGCACGCCTTGATCACACCCACCACCTTCTTCTTCTCCTCCTCCTCGCCGTACTCCGCCACCTGTAACACACACAAATCCAATCAACCACCATGTTAATTAACCATTCGTGTTCGTACATCTCGTCTGATCGGCTTAATTAGAGACATGATCATCAACCACACGATCATTTCATGGATGTTTATATGTAATGCATGTTTGTGAATCTGATCAGAATCGATTAGTTTAGATTAGATTAGTTAGATCGATGATATTACCAGCATGACGTGTTCCGGGGCGTGGCGGACTCTGGCGAGCGGGTCGCCGATCTGCTCGACGCAGAGAGACATGCTCGCCTTCTTCTTCTTCGTCTTCGTCTTGGTCTTCTTCTTCTCCTTGGCGGCGGCGCCGTCGCCGTCGTCGGCGTGGTCGTGAACCGCGGCCATGTCGCCGGACAGGCCGACCTGGCACCGCCGCTCCAGCTCCTCCACCGCCGGCAAGTCCTTCTCCACGTCGAACTCCCTCACCCTCACCAACACCTTCATCATCGTCGTCGTCTCCACCATGGCCGATCTCACCAGCTACAAGATCGATCTCTCACTAGCTCGATCTAGCTAGCTAAGGTTGCTGCAGCTCGAAGAGCTTAGCTTAGCTCGCTGCTGCTGCTGCTGCAGGGGAGGAGGGGTGTGTGGCGCATTTATACACGTAGCAAATAATGGGCTATAGGGGCAGCAAGGGAACAATGGAGGCTTAATGTATAATAAGTTAATATAACCACCTCTAATGATCAATAGCCTTGCTGGATTTGATTAGTAGCATATTGTCTCCCTTTTCTTAATTTCCTCAACCAGTTAGTGTACCTAGTTTTTGTTATAAAAACATGCATGTATGGTTTAAGACAAAGGCGGCGGCTTATAAGAAGAAAAAAAAGTATGTGTTTTTAAGCCGTCGGCGTGTGCCTCGCTTAATTGTAAGCTCCATTGTTTTGCTTATTGACTTATCAGCCGCACTGAAAATTTAAATATTGAAACTTAACTTTAAAATTGATTTTGAGATTTTTTTTCACTAGTTTATTTTTTATATAGGTTTTAAATCGGTAAAAATATATACACAAAAGTTTTATTTTCGTTCAATTTTTCTATGGCTTATCAGCTGTAGAGCAATGCTTTTTCTAAAAAAAAAGGTAGAGATATTTATCTTATAATCATTATATATTCAAGGTGGGTCAAGAGTTTACAAATGCACAAGAAACACGAGAGAGGTGCAGGCAAAGGCTGGAAAGAAGGAAAAAAAAACAAAAAAAAGAAGATATATAGAGGTACAGATAAACGAGATAAAGATGTAGAGCAAATGAGACGAGGAGGTACGTACGGTTTTTTCTTTTCCTTCACATGTAAGTACAAAATTGAATTTGCCAATTTTATTTGAAAATTTCATAACTATTTATATACCGTTTTGGACGGCTTATGGCTTATCTAATTAATTAAGATCATGAATCGAGGCATGCATCCAGCAGCTAGGTCCTAGCTACGTAGAAATTTCATCTCTCCTTTCAATGTAGTGTGAACTATTGGTGCTAGCTAATTATAGTTGTGAATAGAAGACCACGGTTCTTAAGCATTTGTTTATGCTGGTTTTGAGTCATGGAGGTCGGTCGCTGACAGTTGATTAAAGGCGCCAAATCAACCTAGAGCTATAGCTAATTAATCCTACAAATATTTCTATATGCATGGAGTAGTATATAGCAGCTTTTTGAACACAGCAAGTAAGATTCTGCTCTCTCAAAATGTGTATGCGAAGTTCAGTTTATTTATTTCATATTATAAAGCGATCGATACGAATTAGGATCAATCGATAGGCCGGAGCCTAAGCAATTGTAGGGCATCCAAAACATATATTCCAAGCCAAGTCGATTTATATATCATGTGTGCTCCGGTCGCCTCCGGATTTACAGATGCAATATTATCCTTAATTCGTCTAAAAGAGACAAGATTGATTAACAAAAGAGATATATTGGTGAGATATAAAATAACAGAACCATACCTACCACCAAAGAATTAACGTCAACATCAAATCGTTGAGTTTGCATGTTCGTTCTGGTCTTGAACAAGTACTCGATTAGGCCGGAGTGATGGCTGCTGGTTAATAATTTGGATTTTTTTTCTTTTGAACGAATAGCATCAGATGGTGTGAAGTTTTAGCTATTTATCGGAGCACGTATATTTTTTATTCAACTATCTTCAACAGACAAAAATCAAGAGTAATGTGAATTGGCAGCGCGTCTGCTGGCCAATAAAATACGGCGGCCTGCGGGTTTCTAACCTCATCAAGATGGGATGAGCTCTTCGCCTACGATGGCAATGGTATGAATGGACCTCCCCCGACAAACCATGGATTGGCTTGCAGATGCCATGCAATGAACAAGATACTCAGCTTTTCGTAGCCTCTACGTCAGTAACAATTGGAGATGGCAAGAAGGCCTTTTTTTGGGAGTCCCCATGGGCCTGCGATTCCTCTTTAAAGTCAATGGCGCAAAACCTCTACCACCACGCTAGAAGAAAAAAGAGGACAGTCGCAGAAGCCCTACAGGATAATACCTAGATCAATGACATCATATACAACTTGACAACGGTCCTTGTCGCTGAATTTTTCAAGGTCTTCGAACTATTTTAGACATCAGGTGTCACATTAACCCAAGGTGTTGAAGACATCATTCGATGGAAATGGACACCAAGCGGATCTTACACAGCAAAATCAGCCTATCAAATGCAGATCTTGGGCGGCATACCGTCCATATCGACAAACGTGATATGGAAATGCTGGGCGCCGTCAAAATGCAAATTTTTCGCTTGGCTGCTCCTCCAAAACAGAATTTGGACGGTTGATAGGCTACAGCAGAGGGAGTGGCCAAACAACTACTTCTGTCAGCTCTGCTTCAGAAACCTTGAGACAGCACAGCATCTCTTCTACGAATGCTCGATTACAAGTACACTCTGGGACGCCATAGCAACAAGGCTAGGCATCCCTCAGCTACGGCCACAAAACTGGCCCCAGACGGCAATCCTGGAGGACTGGTGGGTTCAGACCGTTCATGCAATGGCTAAGGAGAAAAGGAAGGGGGTCAAATCGATTCTAATCCTACTCTCCTGGGATATTTGGAAAGAGAGGAATAGCATGGTTTTCAGAAACTTAGAGACTCTGCCGCACCGAATCATTGACAAAGTGACCGACGAGATCTAGCTATGGTGCGCGGGAGGGGCAAAGGGCATCCAATGCCTGACGGTGAACAATCATGAAAGTGCAAATGACAACGTGTAGATCAGCATAGCCAACAACCCACACGCCTCCTTTTGTAGCTACACCCCTCCATAACCGCCTTCTTTTTTCTCTTTTTCTTTGTAACCTCTAGCCTCCATGGCTATTGTACGGTGTTTCCCTTTACTTTAATACAAATACACCCCGTGGGGTTTAAAAAAGAGACAAAAATAGTTAAGTCAATAAGTATTTAACTATTTATTGGAGCACATATATTTTTTATTCAACTACTTCCAATAAACAAAAATAGTTAAATCAAGAATACACATGCAACAAACAAAAATAGTTAAATCAAGAATATACATGCTCCGATAAATAGTTAAACACTTCGCACCATAAATTTAGTGCCACTCATTATATTTATGCAATGTTGTTGGTAATATCTAGATGGCTCTATCTAGATTGATATATGATAATTTGGCATCACAAGAAACTGATTAGGTACGTTTCTGAAGTAGGGAACTCAAAGTACGTGGAACCACGATCGATACATAAATGTAATTAGTACCATGCACCCCTTCTTTCATTTCTCTTCTTTCCCTCTGTTGTCTTCTTCGATCTTTTCTAATACACGTATGCATGTGAGCAAGAGAAAAGAAAAAGGCTTGGCCGACATATATATTAATTCTAATAACGATATAATTGTCTCCATGTGTATATATAATGTATCAATATAAAGTGCTTACTAAACTTTTTATTTTACAACTTATAAATTGTCTCTGTTTAGGAGTATTTCTTCCATCTCGGAAAAAAAAATCAACTTTTAGGGATGAATCTGGATGAGTAATTGTTCAGAAAGTTGATATATTTTTTTTGACAGATGATATAGTTATTAGTAACTGTATTTGTGCTTGAGCTTTTTATTTTGCAACTTAACTAGCTTGCATCTTCCTTCTGGCTTCTCAATACGGCACACATAGCTAGTGGCACACAAGAATCACAATTATTATTCGGAATAAACCAATCACTGTCCGTGTCGTCGCTCTCAAAACTAAATTATTTAGCAATTTATTAGCTCGATTGAAGAACAGACACAACTTGTATCTATCTGCCTTAAAAAAAATCACTTTATGAGCTTGCTTATAGCTTGTTCACTTATATGGTATTATACAACATATGGTAAGGATGTTCCTTGGATTGCTTGCACTTTATACATCATCACGAAGAATTTGCATGTGGCATGTTAGCTGATTGCCTCTCTTTTAATTTGTCTTGTCTAGTTAGGAGAGCCATGCTATTGAACTCCATTTTTAATATATGAGAGGTTGTTCCAATGGTCAAGAGCTTTGAACAAACAGCAAGACCGCAAGAAACAAAACTTGTTTAGCAAAGTGATGGCATCTATTAGGTACAGTATGTACTAGTAAGCTGGCTCTAGGGGACATGAATTAATATAATGCACACAAAAGTTATAACAAGTGTGTGAGAGATCAGAGTCAAATCTGAAGTTTAGGCCCAAGATTGTCAAGGGGTTTAAAATATAGATCATGATGTTGGGATATGTAGTAGTAATAGCTACTACGCTAACACAGCTAGCATGCATGCAAACTTGCCATTTTTTTTATCAATGAAACAGACTTGACTAATTGGTGTGCGTCACACACACACATATATATATATATATATATATATATATAATACTCTCTATGTTTTATATTATAAGTCGTTTTGATACTGTTCTAGTTAAAATTCTTTAAGTTTAACAAAGTTTATAAAAAAATATAGTAATATCCAACACAAAACAAACAAATTACAAAAGATATATTAAAAGTTAGTTTTAATGAAACTAATTTGATGATGTAAATGTTGCTAATTTATCTATAAAATAAATCAAAGATAAAAAGAAATTAACTATGAAAAGAGTCAAAATATGAAACGGAGAGGGTACTGCGGTTGCTTGTTAATCTTCATCAACATCCTTTTGACCACACACAATCTTTCCTAACTAGCTAGCTAGCTTAACTCCTTTCCAACAAGTGACAGATGGCCTTGTTTGCATCTTTCCTAATCCTTGCTTTTTAGCAAAAAAAAGAAAGATAGTGTTTATGAGTTTAAACATAGATTAGTGCAAGCATGCATGCGTACAAAGACATGGAAAGAGAGGGAGAGGGAGTTAGGGAGAGTCAAAAGGTATCACTTTGATTGACAGAAATATATCCATAGGTTATTCAGGGTTTAGCTTTTGTTTAGTGTTCTCATCTCAAGGCAACCGAATAATCCAATCTTGGCTCTGCTCATTGTGTACTGATATGATCCAACTTGTCATGGTTTAGAAGGAAGATGCAGGCCTGCGTGCATCATTCAGTTAGAATGCCCTTTAGGGTGGCGTTAGCACGTAGACTTTGCTGGTACTATTGAATTAC